CAATGGCCCCCACAGACATGCTCAGCTCTGGGGGAGACCCCTCTGTCCTGAATGCCTAGCACCCCAGCTTAGGAGGTTCCGGGGCTTGCATCCCCTGACCAGCAGGTCCTAGCAGGACAGCTGGCCCATGCACCTCGGGACAGCCCAGGAGACCTCGGGCTGTGTGACCACTCTGCCAGCCCCGACCTCAGCCATGCCATCCCAGCATTCTCATCTATAAAGAAGGATAACAATGCTCATCTCCCCGGGGACTTGAAAGGCCAGGGACTCCACTTCCTGAGACACAGGACCCTCCCACCAGGCAGCTTTGGAAATGCCAGTGCCTGTGCTTGACAATAAATCCAGCAGGCGCCAGGAAGCATCGCCCAGTGCCAGGGCCGGGGTGGGTGGGGTGCAGTGGCCCGGGATGGGCCATTCTGTCCGCCGCCCCTGGGCATCCAGCCTCCTGCACACAGACCCAACCACCGGACTCTGCCGTGTCTCTCTTTATGATGTTGACGGAGCATCCTGTGACATTCCAGTGCCTAATGAGGGGGTGCAGGCTGCTGGGCGGGAGCCCTGGCCTCACCCGCTGTGGGCGCACCCAGGAGAGACTGGGGTGTTTGGGGTGACTTCTCCCAAACACTCAGGCGGCTCCAAGGTCGCAGAGCCCGACTGGTGGACGCTTGGAGGGTCAGCCAGTGTCACACACAAGGGAGGTGGTGGGGGGACAGGCTCGTTGGGCCTCGTAGATGTCAGGAAGTGTTTAGAGCTGAGACTTGCAGGAAACAGTGGCTCACCCTACTGCTTCCCAGGGGCCACGTGAGCAGAGGTGGCGGCTGAGTGTCACCTAGGGGCTGGGTCGCCCTGGGCTGGAGGTTTAGTAGCTTCATGGCACAGAAGGGGTGGTGGGTGGGGAGGGGGAAGCCGCCTCCTCATCCCGGGCCCTGGTCCAGGCAGGTGGGAGAGGCGTGGGGACAGCACTGGGAAGCTGCTGGGGAGCAGGTGTCTCTGCCTCCCCTAGGAAAACACACAGACCTGAGAACTGCAGAGAAGTGAGAAGCAGACTTCTGTGAAGCTTAGAGGCGCTCCCCGTCAGCTCGCTACCCCAAACCCCTAAGATGAACCTTCCTGTCCGTAACTCCCAAAGCTCCCAAAGTCAGTTATTTGTGCTGCTTCACATTTAAAATACCCGGGTGCAGTCGTGCACACCTATAATAATCCCAGGATTTGGGAGCTAAGGCAGAATTGCCATGAGCTTGAGGCCAACCTGGGCTACATAGTAAGTTTAAGGTGAGTCTGAACTCCATAGCAAGACCCTGTCTCAAAAAGAAAAAAATTTCAAAAAGAAATAGCATTCATCAAAAAAGAGTCTATTTTTAACTCTAATTAAAATATGGTTTCAGAATATAAAATTTTAACTAAGTGTTGAAGATACAGTTGAAGAGTTTCCCAAAAGGTAAAAAAGAGAGAAGCCGGGCACAGAGGCCCATACCTGTAATTCCAGCACTCAGGAGGCTGAGGCAGGAGGATCGCCACAAGTTCAGGGCCAGCCTGGTCTTACATAGTAACACTGTCTCAAACTCACACACACAGAACCCAATTTTTTTAAAAAGTGAGAAAAGATAAGAAAGAGTAAACAAGAAGACAGAACGTGACCAGAGAATTTCAGAAACTCCAGGACCCTGAGGCTCCAGCGCAGCCTGGATGAGCCTCTGTGTGGATGCAGCAGAGAGCACCAGGATGTTGAGAGCACAACCCAGAGGACAGGGAGAAGGCCCTGCAGACGCCAGGACACCAGATGTCCAGAGGGTGAGGACAGCAGGTTCTCCCAGTGCCTGGCGCACGCAGAGAGGCGACCAGAATCCCACCGCAGCTAAACCCGCAGCTGTGGATCCCGCGGGCGCCTGTGCCGAGCTGGCAGCGAGAAGCTCGTGGCAGTCAGGAGTTGGGAGCACCAGGGAGGCGGCAGCAGCAGCCCAAAGACAGCGCAGGAGGCGCAGGAATTGCTAGAGAAGGAAGGACGTACCCACAAGGACAGGGGTGCTGTGAACCCAGGACGGCGCGGCAAACAGCACTTGCAGAGAAGCACCGGCCCCCGCTCCTTTCAGCCTTTCAACTTTTTCAAAAATCACTGGACTTGCCAAGTGTGTTTGCGCCTATAATCCCCGCACTCGGGAGGCTGAAGCAGGAGGATTATCACAAGTTTGAGGCCAGCCGGGGCTACATACCGAGTTCAAGGTCAATCTGAACTACATAGCGAGACCTTGTCTCAGAAAACCAAAACACAAACAAAAAAGTGGTTAAATCTCAGACGTTTCATATTAGCAGAAATATATAAGATCAGTAAGTTAAATTTAACTAAACTTTTAGCAGTGCTGGGGATAGAATGACCGCAGAAATTTTTAAACCGAGTTTTAAAAGGACGAATCAAAAGTTAAGTAACAAGATGTCGAGGTGATTGGCATGCTCAAAGAGTAAAGAACAACCCACGCCGTGTTTGGAAAGAGACTTCTTGTTTGCCAGCCCACACTGCAAGGGCTGGGGTCCGGCTGTTCCCGTCTGGTGGTGACCTGCGTATGGCACTGGTTCCTGGACTAGGCTTGTTTGCTGGTGTGGGGATGATTTTATAATTGAGTATGCAAGTTTTTAAAAACTCATGACCACTAGAATTTTTGGATATTTTGTTTGTTTGCTTGCTTGTTTGTTTGGTTAGTTTATTTGTGAGTGAGGGGGGTGCTGAGACAGTCATGCAGTGTAACCCAGGCTGGCTTGAACACAAGGCGATCCTCCTGCCTCAGCCTTCTGAGTGCTGGGATTACAGGTGAGTGCCACCATGCCCAGGAGATATGATAAACAAGGGTATAGCAGAGAGAAGCAAAAGCCAATAAAATAAAATAAAAATTACAAAACCGAACAAGAAAAAATAAAGATGACATAAGGATTTCTTGAAGGTACAACTAAAGATCCAGCCAAAGTTTTCAAGCTAAATTTAAAAAAATACTACTAGAAACTTTAACCTAATGAATTTGAAGATGAGACCAAACATGAATTCCTAGACAGTAAATAATATAATGCAAGCAAGGGAACAGAAAACCAAGTAGATCAGTAATCACCGGAAAATGTGGGGTCGATAGGTAAAAACACACGGCCCCCGCACCACCACGGGTGCTGGCTGCAAATGCAGTGAAGCCATGGCTTCCGTGAGCTCGCGTGCAGTGCTAGGTGCTCAGTTCTCCAGGGTGCCTGGTGCTGGGTGCTCAGTACCCGGGGTGTGCATGGTGAGGGGAGGCCTGGGGGCGACGAGGGTTGGTCACAGGGGCACTGCCCTTGGCGGGAGCCCGCCTCCCTCCCGCCCCACCCTTCCTTCCCCCTCAGGACCACTTAGCTGAGCAGCCAGCCTTTGCCGTCCAGCCTTCCGTAGCACAAAGCTTATTATTTCATGATCTCTCTGTCTCTGTCTCTGTCTCTGTCTCTGTCTCTGTCTCTGTCTCTCGCTCTCACTGTATTTTCTTCACATTACTTTTACAGTGAAATCCTCTTATTCCTGTTTTTTTCCCTGAATTTGCATTTTTAAAATTGATATAATTCACACATATAACATCTATCATTTTGAAGTGTACAATTCAAGCTGGTGTGGTGGCACATACTTGTCATCCCAGCACTCCGGAGGCTGAGGCAGGAGGATCGCTGTGAGTTCAAGGACAGCTTTAGGCATCAATGGGAACAATGCACTGAACCCATTAAGATGGAAACTAATATGTTACTTAAAAACTAAAAATAAGCACAAAAATAACAAATACCTTTCTCGAAGAGTGCACCGCTGCTCCTGGGACACCAAGCTGTGGTCGCTGAGGCCACCTCACAGGCCAGGTCCTTTCTGCATGCACCGTCTCTGGTCCCCAGGGGCCATACTACGGGCTGCCTGCACCTCCAGAGCTGTGGGAGAGACTCCCCCTTGATGTGCGGTTACAATGATGCACACAGGCTGGAGACGCAGTCTGGGGCCTCCTGCCCGGAGCCACGGGGCTGCCACTACCACAGACAGGTCACTGCAGCCAGCATTTGACGACATCCTCGTGGAAGACCTGAGCGGGTACCACCCGCAGTACTGACTGTGAAAGACAGGCTGACATTGCTTCTGGCCTTGTTTGAGGGCTCGAAGATCTGGGAAGATTATGCAGCCAGAGGACTGATACACAAGGGAAGGTCAAACAGGCAGTGAGTGAAGGGCTGGGCAGGTAGCTCAGTGGCATAAGCACCTGCCTGGCAAGTGTGAGGTTGTGAGCTCGTCCCCGGTACCAATAAGAAAAAGAAAAAAATGTAGTGACTATTGTACAGTTTTTAAACATTTTATCACAGTGAAAGACACATGGCCTGAGCCCCCTCAGTACCCGCGACTTGACTCTGAAGGCACTCATCCCATCTCCGGGTGCTTTCTGCAGCAGCTCTGGAGTCCTCTTTCGTGGGTGTCTTTACCAGGTGTGATCAAAACCACTGTCAAGGCTGCAGGCGCAGAAACCGTCACAGTGAACCCCCTACCCACGGCCTCCAGACCTGGCACGCCCTGGCTCATTCCCCCAAGTGACCGTGCAAGGTCAATGTTTCAAATCGATGCAGGACATCAAGGCAGCCAGGACAGCACAAGGAACAAAACAAGTCAAGAAAGCTTTCAGAGGCATCCAAGGGAAAGATGGTCCCGCTTTTTATAAACTATTCTAGAAAGGATGCCTCTGCTCAGTTCATGAAGTCATATCACTTGATACCCAGCCAAAGATAGGATTTTTTTTTTATTTTTATTTTTGTCTTTTTCCTTTTTATCGGTACCAGGGATCGAACTCACGACTGCCTGCTTACAAGGCAGGCGCTTATGCCATTGAGCTAAATCCCCAGCCCCCAATGATAGGATTTTAAAAAAAACTTACAAGTACACAAGTAAAGGTTACTAACAAACAGGTCTTTAAAGTTTTAAACAAAACATTTACAAACTGAATCCAGCAGTATATTTGTAGTTTCCTGCAAGAACACAACGATGAATTTACTGTTCAAAACTTGTAATTTTATTTACCTTTTTTTTAACACACTGAAGGAAGAAAAAAATAAGCATTTTAATAGGACCAATCAACACAATTCAACATTTATTCATGATTTTAAAAAACACTTATTCAACTAGGGCTGGAAATCCCACATTTACTGATGAAATATTTGATTTACAGTCAGGACTTTAAGGGTACTCTTTGAGACATTTCTTATCCAAATGAGCATAAAGGACATAGCCAGTGCAGATACAATTTTTTAAAATAGAAAAATAATAAAAATGATAGATGGAAGATTTCAATAAGCAGCAGCCAATTGTTAAAATTATTGCCAGGTATAAGTATGTAAAAATAAATTTCATTCCTGTATACTGGTAAAAACTTTACAAAATATTATCTTTAAAAAATATATCAGGCTGGGGATTCAGCTCGGTGTAAGCGCCTACCTGGCAAATGTGAGGTTGTGAGTTCGATCCCTGGTCCAAAAACAAACATGTAAAAAATATATCATCTGTACTAAAGACGAAAAGTCAAGAAGAGAGAAAATAGGAATAAATCTAACAAAAATCTGTACAAGATTTTTGGGAAAAGCTCTGAAAGATTAGAAAAGACCTGAATATATAAAAAGACCAAAATGTCTACTGGCAAGAACATTAAGTATTGTTTAAAAAAACAAAAGCAAATTCTTCCACAAATCAATTTATAAACTCAGTGCAATTCCTAGCAAAACCCCAGCAGGGTTTCTCCGCAGAGCAGGACTTGTTGACTCTGAAATGTGGGTAAAGGACCGAGGTGGAAGAAGCTGCGGAGAGGGATTTCCACACAAAATGATCACAGCTCCGTAATGGAGCCGGGGGCAACAGGGCACTGAGCAAATGGGCCACGCTCCGGCTGTGGAATCCAGAAACCAGCACGAGCGTCTGAGGAGACCTGGTAAGTCCCCCCACTGGGGGGAAATAAACTGCTTGACAAATGGGGTGATAGGTATGACCTTCAGCTGGTTCCCCACACCACACCCTGTCTGAAAAAATTCCACGTGAACTAAGCAGGTAAATAGTGAAAATAACACGGTGGGAAGAAAACACAGAAGAGTTCCTTTGCGACCTGAAAGGAGAAAGAAATCCCTTTTTTTGTCGGGGGGAGGTGGGTACTGGGGATCAGACTCACAACCTCACGCTTGACAGGCAAGCGCTGTGCTGCTGAGCTATGCCCCCAGCCCCAGGAAGAAGTTTCTTAAACTAGATGTTTTTAAGAGCGCAAACTCTAATGTTATATTGTTTAATATGACTAGATTAAAGGGAAACTCTTTAGTAGTTGCTGCCTCCAGTCTTGAGGTCCTGAGTCTGATATGCAGAACGGGAAAAAAAGAAAGAAAAAAAGAAAATTCCTATTCAGCAAAAGATAATAATAAACAAGGAGCCATAATTAGGATAACCCCAAAGTATATAAACTATAGAAAGTATAAAAATTATAGAAGTGTCTATATATTAAGAACAATCCTATGACTTAATACAGGAAGGTCATTGTAAATTGGTCAGTGTATATGCATAGCTAGTACCTAAAGAAATCTGATTGTTCAAAAAACGCTTTAAAACAATCTCAACCTCACTACTTATCCTTATCAGGGAAATGCGTAAGTGAGGTACCATCCATACCTCTGGACAGACCAAAACCAAAAAGTCAGACACTAACAAGAGCAGAGCAAGGAAATTAAAAGGAAAAACCCCACAGAAATCCATGTCCATCAACAAAGGAACAGGCATCCAGGCATGGTGCTGCATGCTTGTAATCCCAGCACTCACGAGGCTGAGGCAGGAGGACCGTTGCAAATTCAAGACCAGCCTGGGCTCCAAAGAGAGCTGCTCAGGGCCTGCTGGAACTGCATAGAGAGACTCTTTCTCAAAAAAAAAAAAAACTAAGGAACAGGTAAATTGTGATGTGTTCACACAGCTACTAAAATAAACTAGGGCCTAATGCACCATAGAGTTAAATCTGCAAAGTACTTTATTTAGCTCAGAAAAACAGGGAAAGAACACTACGGCAGCAGCACCCTTTATGCCACATTTTAAAATGTGCAGAGCAGGGCTGGGGATTTAGCTCAGCGGCATAAGCGCCTGCATTGCAAGCAGGCAGTCGTGAGTTTGACCTCCCATACCAATAAAAAGGAAAAAGACAAAAAAAAAAAAAAAAAGTGCAGAGCAGAGCCTTGATGAGTTCAGGGTTGTGGGCACACACAGGAAGGGCACAAGAACACCGTCAGGACATGGGACACCATAATTACAAAGCAGGTTGTCTCCAAGGAGAGAAAAAAAGCCTGGAATTGGGGAAGAGCTCTATACAGGAGTCATCTATTTTATCTGTTGTGTTTTATGCTGTTAATAAAAAAAAAAAGCAAGCAGAGCAAAGCAGAGTTTCTACACATCACCTGAGAAAGTCACCCTCATACGTCCCTGAATGTCTGAAGGTGACAGGGATGAGGTCGGAGCTGGAGGGGACAGGGCATCCCCGAGCGCTGTGCACCCGCTTTACCCACGGCTCTGGCAGAGCCCTGCAAGGTGCTGAGATATTGGATTGGGATGGGCGTTTTCCGTCACGGACACAGACTTCATCTGATGCACGTCACCTCGGTTCCCGCACTTCACCCTTGCCACAAGGGGAGGGGCCATTATTATCCCCACTGGGCAGGCCAGGAAACTGAGGCTGAGCAAGCTGGGAGGGTCCACTGAGCGTGAGGGTGGTTGAACTGACTGTGTTCCATCAGAAACATCTGGACTTTAAGCTGCAGGTAGTTTCAAAATTTGGAAACAAGGAAAGGTGAGTCCGCTGGGCATGTGAAGGTTTCAGCAAGGGAAACTTTAGAACCTGGACACACACACACACACACACACACACACACACACCCCAGGACCCAGCTCCTCTGCTCTGGGGTCAATGGATGCTATTGGAGGATCTATTGCTCTGGCCTACCGCCATGGCCACACTGGGCTGACACCACCCACTGGGTGACACTAGACTGATGAGAATGGCACCTCCAGTTTGAGAAAGTTTGCTCTTACTTTTTACACAGAGGGAAACACCAACTCGAAGTTCTTTAGAAATCCTGATGCTTTAATAATAATCACTATAGTAATCACAGCCGTCACCCACTGGGCATTTACTGTATGCAGGGCACTGGGTTAAGCCTTTATGGGCTTGGTGGCCACTGATGCCCACAGCGACTCATGGGGCAGGGACATTTTATCTCTTTTCAGGAATGAGGGAAGCCAGGCATGGAGAATGTGTGTAGGTGCCCTGCCCAGAACCAGCGCAGTTAGTAAGTGGTGGAGCCAGGAGGAACCCGTAGCTGTCATCTCCCCAGCCCGTGACATCCAATTAAAGCAACAAGGGCTTAACTGCTTTCAATTGGAAGAATAAATGAGGACGTGATACAAGCGCCATAAACCAGACACCAAGCTTATCATTACTGTCGTGAACACCGGTCACACGTTCACTGCTCCGAAAACGCTCGTAAAACAAAGTGGCGCTTAGTTCCAGGAAATAAAAACCAAAGGACCAATTTGGCTGCTGTAAATAAGTGGGAACTCACAGGAGGCCACCAGGATAGGCCGGGCAGTCTCCGCGAGCCACACCCAACGTGCTCTGCTCACGGTTCATTGCTGGCGAGGTTCCCCTGGGACTCACACGAGCACCCTCTCCCTGATTAATTTCCGAAAGAGCCCGCCTATCTTGACCATAGCAAACACAATGACCCCGGCTACGATGGCCTGGCCCGCTAGAAGCAGGACGAACAGAGCCCAGTAGAGATCGTGAGCTCCACCCTCCTCGCCAGCGGCCACCGGCTGGACGCGCTCCCAGGGCTCCGAGCTGCCGGGCACCGCGGGGGGGACCCGGGCGCGGTCGAGCGCGCCCCGCGGGCTCGGACACCAGGGGTCGCCCTCGAGCAACTCCCAGAGCTGCAGGCCGGCGCGCGGCTCCGGGCCGGAGCACCGCGGGGGCTCAGCCCGACCCACGACGCCCGGGTGCTGCCGCAGCCACTGGAGGAACGGCCACAGGCCGCAGTCGCACAGCCAGGGATTGTGGCCCAGCAGGACCTCGGTGAGCCGGGGCAGGGCCGCGAACGCGTCGCCGGGCAGCGCCTCCAGCTGGCTGCGGTCCAGCCGCAAGCGCTCCAGGGAGCTGAGGTTGCGCAGCAGCGCGCGGGGCAGGGAGCGCAGCCGGGTGCTATTGAGGCTCAGCGCGCGCAGGCCGGGCATGGGCCCGAAGAGCACCCCGGGGAGCTCGGCCAGCGGGTTCTCGAAGAGCGTGAGCAGCGTCAGCCAGGGCTTGTGCAGGAACAGGCCGGGGGGCAGCAGCTCCAGGCGGTTGCTCGCCAGCGTCAGCGAGCTCAGGTTTCCCAGGCGGTCGAAGGCGCCGGGGGCGATAGAGCGGATGCGATTCCGATCGAGCTCCAGCCGCACCAGGGCGCCCAGGCTGTCCAGCAGCCCCGAGTCCAGCGAGACGAGCTGGTTCGAGTGCAGCAGGAGCTCCTGGAGTTCGGCCTGGGCGCCGAGCAGCCCCTTGGGCAGGTGCGTCAGGTTGTTCCCCGATAGATCCAGCACTTTCAGCCTGCCCAGGTTCGCGAAGAGGTTTGCAGGGAGCGAAGAGAGCCGGTTGTGGCTCAGAACGAGCTCCTGCAGGTTGGCCAGGTTCCGGAACAGGTCAGGCTCGATGGTGCGCAGTGCGTTGCCGTCCAGGAACAGCTGCTCCAAGAGCAGCGTCCTGTCCAGCAGCGCGCGGGGGAGGTGGGGGATGTTGTCGCGGGACAGCCTCAGGGTTTTCAGCTTGATCAGGTCGTCGAAGGTGCCCGGGGCGACGGCAGAGATGGGGCTGTCGGAGAGGATCAGGCGCTGCAGGACGGTCATGCCGCGGAAGCTGGCGTTGGGGAGGGCGCCGGGGCCCATGTGGAAGAGCAGCAGGTGCGTGAGGTTGGCGGGCAGGCCGAGCGCGGGGACGCGCGTCACCGGGCTGCCCCGGCACTGCGCCGCGTCGCGGAACGGGCACCTGCAGGCCTGCGGACAGGACCAGGGCTGCGCGCGCGGGAGCCCCAGCAACGCGCACATCAGCGCGGTCCGCAGCACCGCCGCAGCGCCGCGCGCCGACCCCGGAACCTGGAGCATGCTGCCGGGTCGAGGTCTTTTCCCCGGAGGCTCGCTGCCCGCCTGCGTGCTGTCCACACACAGCTGAGACGCGTCTGTTCCCAGTAGGGCAGGTCTCCCTGAGGGGGCAAAGGCATGGTTCTGCACTACCGCTTCTCATTCTTGGGCTGATTTTTACTCTCAATTTAGAGCACTGAGACAAAAGCGTTTTCAAACTAAGAAAAGCAGACGCCAATCAATACCCGCCGTTTTATGCCAGGAGTGACTCTTGGCACTGACTCTACGTTTTCAGTAGCTTTTCAGTAACTATCATGTGGGCACGATTACCATCCCGAGCTCAAGGACAATGACACAGAAGCACAAAAAAAGCTAGTAACAAAGAGATCCCAGAATCTGAGGCTGGTACTGACAGCCATCAACAAGGTGCCACTATGATGTTTGACCCAAGTAATACTTGGGGTATACAATTATTTGCAAAATACACACGGTAACACTAATCTTCAAAACATCCTCTACCAAGTTAAATTTTAGTGTTTCTAACACCAAATTTGACTTCCTAAGCACGGACACAACCTTTTCAAATCTTTCATTTTAGAGACGTTTGCCTTACCTGAAATGGTCTTCCAAGCCAACAGGACTGAAAGGCTTAGTTAGGGCTGTGCATGTGATCCTGCACTTTCCAGAGGAAGAGGCCTGGCCCTGCATCTTTAGGATAAGGACGTCCCCGGACACAGCCGGCCACCGGCCCTATCTTGGAGGGCCACATGAAGTGTGCAGTGGCCATTATCTGCAAACTGAGAGACCACACACAACTCAGTCTCACTGTGGGAGCTCAGTGGCAGTGGGAGAGCTTTTCCATAAATGACCTGGCCGGGCTTCTGCCACGCTGGAAAAGCACTTCACAGCAGCTGCACCCTGAGTGAGCCATGCTGCCTTTTCAGGCAAGACTGTGCCAGTTCCTCACCCTGTCTTTTGGAGGTAAAGGTAAGAACTGCTTCACATCTCTGCCCGCTGTTTTAAAACAAAATGTTGATCCAGTTGTGGTGGCACACACCTGTAATCCTAGCACTCAGGAGGCTGAGGCAGGAGGATCTGAAGTTTGAAGGCAAACTGGGCTAGAGAGCAAGACCCTGACCTAATGACAACAAGAAAGTCATCATACCTTTCTGTCAAAATGCAATACTGAAATAATCAACATTAGGACATTTAAGCCAGGCATGGTGGTTCACTCGAGGCTGAGGCAGGAGGGTCATTGCAAGTTCGAGACCAGCCTGGGCTACAAAGTGAGCTCAAGACCAGCCTGAACTGCATAGTGAGACCCTGTCTCAAAAAGACAAAAAAACAAACAAACAAACAAACAAACAAACAAAAAAACCCAGTAAGTGTATTCTGGCTGCACTCCACTGCTTTTGGTCCCTGCCTGGTGGAGGTCAGGAGACTGTCCCAGGACCACTCCTTCCCCAGCTGGGCCCAAGCTCGGTCACCGTGACCTACAGCTAGCAAGCCTTCAGCACACACCCGTGATGGGAACACCATGAAGCAATCTAGCCAGCAGCAGCTTTACTTTGTGGCCTTTTCACAGAATAAGCACCACTTGGGCTTCTCCTGGGAAGCGCTCTGGTGTCCTTCGCCCACCCGCTCGCTGCAGGCGCTCTGTTGTGGCCTTACTAACCCTTTGGGTATCCAGGTGTCCAGCTTCTCACCTTGTCTGTGGTGACTTTGGATGCACCCAGGTCCTAATGGAGGTGATGCTGTTTTCCTTCAGCTTGTCCCTTTTATGTCCATGAAGCCCCCACCCCACCCCATCACAAAGGTTTTCCGATATTCCCTCCATTTTCAGTGTTGTTGTTCCTGTCAGCTCTCAGATCCCCCTGGGGCGGACTTGGTGCATGGTGCCAGCTGGACGTCAGAGGGCTGGCCCTCCCTGAGGATAATGCAATGCGCTAACCTCCTGTGCCCTCTGCGTCCTTGGCTCCAGTGAGGCCTTCGCCCAGCCCAGCCAGCTTGCCAGTCTTCCTCCTGGAGAACTCCAGACGCCAGAAACACCTGCCACCCGGGGGCGAAAGCCGGATACAAACTTGGCTTGTCTGCGACACCTACCACCTTAACTTAGTGCCAGTACCACTCCGTCTTTGTGTCTTCCTGCCCTGAACAGACTGTAAAACCTGGGCCCCTCACTACCCCCCCAGGCCCACCCGACACTGTTTCTGCAGTGTGTCTGACAGATGGAAGGAAGGACGGACGGATGGACAGATGCCCTGGGCCAACGGCACACTGTTCTCCTGTCTTCGGAAATCCCAAGTTCACAAAAAGGAAACGATGATGTATTACACAGGAAATAAACCCAGAGGGCAGTATTCAAATAACGTAAGTATCAAAGATATGAAGACACAGGAAAAAAAACATGGAAATACCATTTAGATTTTTATTTAATAGCTTCAATCAAAAAATTTCCTAAGGTTATTTACAATGCTGAATGTACAATTACGCACATAGGCCTTTTGACAACAGGGTACCATTCTTAAGCAGCAATACAATTTTAAAAATATAAAGATGCAGTATCATTTCTGATAAAAAGTTACTAAAAAAATCCAAAGTCTTAGGGATTCACAAATCATAACAGGAAGTAACTATTAATTTCATGTGCACATAATTATCAAATTTTAATACATTAAAAATATGCGTAAATGCCCATGACTGTACAAAAATTAACATCCTACTTTGTTAAAACCGCCCTATCCCCTCCCTCCATAAACATATAAAAACTTGTTTCAGGTATGTCAAAATCACATGCTTAAGTATCAGAACGTCTTGTGGCGTGTGGGCTCTGCCGCCCAGACGTGCTCTGGTCGGGCCTCACACCTTATGAAGAGTTATCCTGCCGGCCTCGGGAGCCCTGCAGCACTGCTGTCGTCTGGGCAAACAGTTCACATTGCAATGGTTCTGTTCAAATGCAAGGCGGTTTGGAGAGCTGCAACTGAAGGGTCATAAACGACTGGGACTGTGAAAGGCTTCACTGTAATGGTGGCTTAGCCCCGGGATGCAGGATCGCCTGCAGCCCAGCCTACAGCAGCCAGTGCTAGGAGCCAGAGAACAGCACTGAGTTTGAAGGAGCGGGAAGAATTTCAACAACCCTGAGGGAGACACACATTAAAAATCCTGCCATTTATTTAAAAAGTTACAAAGTTACATATCATTATTTAACAATTACTTTCCTGGACATTTCTGTCCTTTAGGTGCATAAATAAAATTTAAATTAGCAATATTTAGCAATCTTAATACATCAAACTAATATATGTACAGATAAGATTTTTAAATTTAGTTTTGTTTACACTCAAATAATTTAAGGTAAAATTCAAAACCAAAATGACTATTATGCACAGTGACCCACAGAGGACTCGGTCTATCTATGGCACTGTGAGCACTGACACCTGGCTGCCCAGGTGTCCTTCAAATGACATTCTCAATGGGACGGACCCACCTGCCGAGACTGTGCTTGCATCTACCCCCACTGCATTCCTTTCGGACAGCAGAGACAGAGGAGCCACAAACCCCTGCGACTCTGAGGGGTAAAAGCCTGCACGTGTCAAAAATAGCTCTTTATGATCCTGCTCTTAAAGATGTTAAATACAATCTAATTGTTTGGATTTGTAAGCTGCTCCTTAGCAATCGCTTTAATTATAAGCTTCAATATTTAAACCAAAGAATAAAATTTACAATTCTGAAAATCACTTAAGAACATTTGAGCATATTTAAAATTAATATAGAAACCAGAAAACAGAGACTAACTACAGAAAACAGCGCTAACTCACAGCCTAAGAGGTCTGAGATGCATAGCTTCATAGAATCACTGGTCGAGAAACTTCTGATCATCTACTGTGGATTATTATGTTACGCATTTCGATGGGAAGCCTGGATTGTATCTGGTAGGAATCACCAGTGGCAGCTGCAAGCAGGCAGGCCCTGAGTGCCACGCACGCCGCTGTTAGCCGACGTCCTTCAGGTCTCAGCAGCACAGTGAGATGCGTTTGGAGCCCAAGTCTGGGTAGCGCCTGGGTAAATGGGACATTTGTGTGGGAAAACAATGACCCGCCAGTGTGAAGTGCACATGCACATGAGCAGTTAAGCAAGACCATAGAATAAAAATAAAAAAGTTTTCATACTTCAGGGCCATCTTACAGTAGGAACTGTCCCGTGTTTCTCGTGACTGTGGGCTGTGCCAAACTGCTGGATCCCGTTTATAATGGCATTTTAAAAGTTACCTTAAGTTCCTTTAGAATTTAAAGACTAACCAGGTAAAACAGAGAAGTGAAAACTACTCTCTGTACTTTTTTGCAAATATCTTAACTTTACTTCTTCAGATTTTTTTCCTCCCAGAACTTTGTGCTCCTCTTTAACAAAACAGGCGTGCTTGGAGCTCTGGCACCACCTGGTGGCACAAAACAAACTGCCAAGCGCCAGCTGCTTTGTTCAAATCCAATGCTCTACTGTAAAAATCTCATTATTGATAGGAGACTTACACACCAAAGCTTAAAAAAACATTCAAGGTAAAATTCTGAAACAAAACCCAAAATTCATTCTTAGCCTATGCTTTTAGGTAATCAAAAATGGAAATAATAATAAAAAGACGCTTAAAGTAATACTAAGCCTGGAAAAAAAAAAAAAAAAAAAAAACAGGAGTGAGGAGGTATTAAAAAGGTAGCTCTACACGTCCTGCCCAGAGAAATCTTTCCTTCTGAGTGAAAAGGTCTGACAACACGGAACTGAAGCAAGCCGGGCTCCACGTCCACAAAGAGACCCTCACCTGCTGCCTCATCATGAAGGCTGCAGTGTGACTCTGCTCACAAAACCTGAAGCTGGCAGCTTGGACAGAGAACAGAAGCTGCATGGAAACCCGAGCTCTCTAAGCAATGTGACTCAGCTCACTCCAGACCCCGAAGGGAGCCAGTGCATGTCACAGAGAGAGCTGGGGAGAAGTACTGCATCAAAGGACACGGCCTTTCCAGTTGTTTTCACTGACAGCCAATGGACACCCATTTTTTATCAATCACACAAGCAAGGTCCATAATAGAAATATGAGTTTTTCTAATAAGGGAGTTGTGAAAGTAAGAGAGGGAACCAGTCTCAAAAAGCCCTCGTTTCTCCTGTATCCAATACAAAGAGCATCGCTGAGGGTAACAAGCAGCTCTGGAAACATGTGCAGAACTTAGGCTGGTGACCGAACACAGATAGGCTGAGCGCTACTGTAAGGACGAGGCCCACACTCTCCTGAGCGCTGGCGGGATGGGGTGGCGTGCTCTGGCGCACAGGATTAGAGAGTCCCGGATGCCACCCTAGTACACCGCAGAGACCGGGTCACTCCCTATGGTGATGACCTGACACGCTCCATTCCCTTTGGACGAAGCTTTGGCTTCTGTTGTTGTCTGGGGCTTCGGTGGCCACTCTGGGTCCACCAGCAGCTCCTGGGCCAGGCACATGTACTTCGCCTTTGGAATCTTCTTCCGACAGTGCAGGGCCGCCCAGGAAAAGCAGCATTTCCCCCACCAATCCACGGACTCCTGAGAAAATCAGACAATTAAAAAACAAAACAACAAAAACCCAGCACCCTACCTGACTCAAGGTTGCTTTTAACAGGTTCATCAGTGCATACACTTGCGCAGAAGAACAAGAGGAAATGACTCCTGAGCATGACAAATAAATGAAAAAATCCATGTTAAAAAGCAAGCTTTCAATTCTTTAGGGACAGATCACTTTTTGCTTTGTTCTGTTTTTGTTTGAGACAAGGTCTCACTATGTAGTTCAGGCTGGCTCTGTACTAATACAGTTCAGGTGGTCTTCAACTCACAGCAATCTTTCTGCCTCAGCCTCCCAAGGGCTAGGATTACAGGTGTGCACCAACAGATCATTTTAAGATTAGATTTTTTTGATCATCTGTGTACAGTTACCCTGTAATTTATTTTATTTTATGTATCTATTTTCTGGCATACTGATAAAAATTTGTAAGTTGCATGTCTGGATTCTATAACAACAAATAGAGCAACAAATATCTTGAGAATAACTTTATTTAGAATATTAATGTTTGATGTGGAAATTCTTCTATTCTTGTCCCTCACTACCCTTTGGCACTACTGCTCCTGGGAACTCAGCCACCGTTGGGGAAGAAGGCAATGGGAAAATAAAAGGTACTGCTAATATCCTCTCTCTAAGCACAAAGAAAACACTGTTAGCCCAATTAGGATAATATCATCTTTCGCTCCAAAAGCCTCTTTTAGGGGCTGGGGATTTAGCTCAGTGGCATAGGCACTTGCCTTGAAAGTGTATAGTCGTGAGTTCGATCGATTAAAAAAAAAAAAAAAAAAAGAATCTACCCAAAAGCCTCTTTAAAACCACAGTTTTCACTGCCAGAAAAACAGTACATGCACTTTGCAACGAGGTTCCTGGGGCGCTCACTCTGGAAGGTGGTCCACAGGGAGGGGTGAATCAGCTACTGTTTGTTCTAATTTACAATCTCTGTCACCCGAGATCCTCCTCATCGGTCCTGAGGCTACTAACAAATGTGACCTTCAGAGTCCCTAGTTAACATCTAGAAATACAAACTTAGCAGACGCCAGAGGTGCCTCAGAGCTCCTCTCAGCTGAACCTGGAAATGAATGCGGGAAGCCCAGTGAGCACGCAGAGACCACAGTTGCAGTCACTTCCAAGCTGCTCAGTTCACATCCTGTTGCTGCTTCTCCTGGGTCAAACTCCAAGCCGATTAGCATGACTGGGCCCACCGCTAGCTCCCCTCTCAGCCCCATGGCCTGGAAGACCCCATCCACACCTGGTGCAGGTGCTAACGGGAGTACCCACATGCCATGACCGAGAGGCAAATCTGCATAATGCATACTTAAAACTTGTTGCTAAGGGGCCACGAACAGCTAAAATACCTTTAGAAGGATGGGGGTTGAACCCAAGGTCTCTGCATGGACCTACCTGCCCTCCTCCTTAAATTCTGAGACAGGTCTCACTAAGTTGCCCAGGCTGGGTTCAAACGAGATCATTCTGCCTCACCTTCCAGAGTCCTGGGATTACAAGCCTGTGCCACTGGGACTGACTCAGAAAGTGTTTTAAATGAAGCTCTTAGAATTTTCCCTATATTCACTTGGGAGATTTTTCTCATTTTATGGAGATGGTAACCAGCTACTCTTCTACTGACATCATCCAGAACATGATAGGCAACTGCAAAGATCTCTGGTTGAGCCTGTCACCAAAGCAACCTGTGCCACACGCTACACCAAGGACAGGCTAAGCTGCGGCCACAGGCAGCTGCACTGCGTTCCCAGGGAAGACAAACCAAAGATGATTCCTCTATCATCAGAATGATGACAGTGTTACTGGACTCCATTACGAGCCCCTCAAATCAAGCCCCATGAAGACAGCACCGAGAGAGGCGGACGTACCTGCCCAGGTTTCCTGGGTGACCATGTGGCAGGCAGCCCAGACCCAGGATTTAACCTAGAGGGCAGCTCACTACCCTGTGTTTACTTTTCTCCAAAGTGTTTCAATTCTTGAGTCCAACTACAGACAAGATCACCATTCCTAAATAAATCTGAAAGCAGTCATGTTTTATTTTACAGGAGGCAGCACTGTTTAAAGGATCATGGGAAAAAGGGTTCATGGTGATTGCTGGCTCAAAAACAAAGAGCAGTGGAGCCCAGCCAGCTCCGCCTGTCTGTCCCCCGAGCCTCCAGGTACAAGGGCAGCAACACACACCCTTGTACGTGTTGGAGGTGTGGAGCCGAGGCTGGTGGGATTCAGACACACACAGCCCTGTGTACCGTGAGGCCCAGTGGTAAAATACAACTAATTTAACTGCAAGCAGAATCACAACTGACTAGGGTACTTTTACGTCCAAGAGTGTATTACTTAAAATTCTTCACCTTTTTATTAAAAATAACGTGCACTCATTTTAATTTTTAAAAATTTAAATTATAAGGATTTCCCAACTCCACTTTTAATTAGAAACATTTTTTCCCCTGTATCTTCATCCTCCCAATTGTCATACATGAAATATTACATGCAAGCACAGGTTCATTTACACACACAAGTGTGCTGCACACGTCCTCAGACACACTGAGGTCACGAGCAGAAAACTGCAGGGGTGACGGGAACAGGGGGTGAGACATCTGAGGGCAATGAGGGCAGGCCAGCACTGTGCACTGCAGCCGTGAGCAGAGGGGAGCAGGGTCTGGCACGAGCACAGGGGCTCCCCAGACTCCCGGGACTAGCCCCCAAAGCAGGACAATGCAGCAGGCACAGCTACTGGACCTCAGGGTTTACTTCTGAAAGGAATGGTTAAGACCAAATTTGTCTACTAGAGCCAGGCACAGGGGGACACACCTGTAATCTCAGCACTCCGGAGGCTGAGGCAAGAGGATCGCTGCAAGTGCAAGGGCGGCCTGGCTACACCACGAGTTCAAGGTTACCCTCAACTCCACAGTAATACTGTCTCAAAATAAATATACACATAACAATTTTAATGCTGGGCATGGTGGCACGCACCTGTAATCCTAGCATTTGGGAAGTGTAACCAGGAGGAACTCTCAAGTTTGAGGCCAGCCGGGTCTACGTAGTGAGATTAAGGCCAGCTTGCACTACAAAGTGAGACCTTGTCTCAAAAACAAAACAGAACAACCCCATCACCACCAACTTTTTTTTTGTTTAATTATTCCTTCAGAGATGAGGTTATCATCTCTCAGCAGAGACACCACAAAGAACTTCAAGGATACTGTGGCTCTAATTCTTAATGGTTTACCCCAGGACCAAATGGCCACTTTGGGTTGGCAGATTCTTTTAGGAGCTGTCTTCATGGGTGACATTTACAACATAAAAGTGATGCTTGAATGAAAAAAATTGTCATAATGGTATCACAGTTTTCATAAGTCTTTTCCCAACCAATCCAATCAGAATTAGCATTCCATCTAACTAAGCTCAAGGCATGAAGGCGACAGTTAACACCTAGATTTATCAACAGTAAAAGCAAGCAGCACCAGCAGGATCGAATCACACTGCAGTCCCATGCCGGCACTACACCTGCTACCAAGTGGCTTTCCGTTCCCACATGCCACAGCCACACAACTGCCTCTGAGGAGAGCAGACATCTCCTCACAGGAGCAAGCTAAGGAAACTCCCACCCAGGTCAAGTGTGACTCAAGCATTTCTGATGACTCTCCTGACCTGAAGTCGCTGGTATACTGAGAGTATTTTTTGTTAGAGAATAGCTATTAACATCTAAGGCTGCTAAAGAACATTACCGGACTATATGGCTCCATGATGGCTTAAGCTGTAATTATCTGCCAATGGCTGCCTTAATTCCACTCAACGGCCATTTATCAAGGACCCCGAGCAGTAAGAAGAATCACAATGGGATCAGCTCGCATGCACAAAGCCTGCTGACCTTCAGTACGCATACACACACAAAAGTAAAAACAAAATTCCTGCTATGAACCTGGTGAGCTACCAATGTTCAGGGGATCAGGCAGGATACCACGTCTACAACGCCCAGTAAAAGCATGGGTAGAGGCCTGTGTGACAGAAACATGACCATCTGGATTGAATTCCATGTCTAATTCTATTTCCTCATCTGTGAGAATTGGTAGCAGAGATTAAAGCTACTCTTACCCAGGCCCAACACAAAGCAGCTGGTAATAGCAGCTGCTGCTCCTCCCTGTCCTGTCCTCCTGTCCTGGACCACTGTGTTAGTCTCATCTCTGCATCCCCCAAACGAGGGATGGGAAGCATATGGCACAAAGGAAAGAGTGCCTCTCCCAAAATGTGATATCCTGGCTTCAGTTCAAGCTCCACCATGCGTGAGATGCCTGAAGGTGGGAAGTGGGTCAGTTTGGTTGGTTTCTGCATAAAATGGCATCAGAAATACCCTATGTCTGTGTGGGAGGCCCCTGGAGGTGGGGCACAGTGCCTGGCAAAGATCTCCAAATGAGTGTCTTGGCCTCCCAATGCAACCATCAAGCTGACGCCTAGTTTGGGGTCTCTAGCTTTGCAGCTTCTAACCCTAACCCACAGTCCCCATCAACACTGTAAGAAAGGAAAGGAGGAAAGGGCCCTTCTTCCCTGACACTAACACAGACGCCGGGAGCTGTAGTCTGAAGACTGCGGGACTGTGTCACGGCTAAGGAAGGGTCCGTGAGGGGAGCGTGGGGACAGTCACAGCATCAGTGAAGTCCTGAGCAGCCAGTCACACTCCCTTGCTTTTCTGTCCACCTTAAGGTGAGGCTCGTTGGCCTTGTCGGCCTGGACACCGGGGCTACCCAAGTCCTGGCCAGGAGGTTAGGTTCTGTGCACCGAAGGACCACTCCTTAGCAGCTCTTCCACCTGTCCCGCTCCACCTGCCAACAGCAGCCTCCTTCCTTCACTGCTCCCACAAACCCTGTCCCTTGACACTGTCAAGTGGTCCTCAGGGACACTCACACGTCCCCTTGGAACTCACCTGATTGGCCCTTAAAGGATCACAAACATAGACATGCTGAAGTAGCAGGTGACAGTAGTGTTGCATTCCACGCTAAGTCACTGTAAGAATTGTCATTCTAGAGCCAGTGATCAAAAGGGTTTTCTTAACCACAACCACAGAACTGGAAGGCTAAAATTCTTCTACCACTGGTTCTCAGATTGATGGCTGGATTTCTCTTTGGGGAAGAGGAAAACTCAATTTAAATTTGTTCCTATGCCTATGCCTTGCCACTACAAATTCCTTCACAGGAGGGCTGGAGCTGAGACCTTGACTTAAACCTCTTAAGTAACAGAGTGAAAGGCATCAAAAGGGAAAACACAGAGAAATGTGGTAAAGGCCGTGAGCATCTAGTACAGCTCAGCATGAAAAAGAGCAGCAGCAGACTCCAGACTCAACCCTTCACCTCTGACCCATCCTAACTTTGCACACACCCTCAAAAGCAGAGGGCCTCTGGGAAAGCTTACCCTATGGCAGCAGCCTGGACACCGGGCCTACAACTTAGCCTAAATAAACCTTGGAAGTTGCCACTGAAATTAAAAGGTGGCTACACTGAAGTGAGTGACCCCACTGAGAAAGGTCTGGCATTCCCTTAACTCTGAGCTTCCCTGACTTGGGGTGAAAGACAGGGGTTCACGGCTGAAAGCACCTTGCTCCCTGCAGAGGAGCAGAGGGTCAGGTGGAGGAGGCTTGAGCTCACTGGCAGGCTCTCTCCAGGCAGCAGATGCACGAGGCTCTGACAAAACCAGTCTGTACCCAGCGTCCTGCCAGTAGGCAAGGAGTTTCACTATCACCAGCTGATTTCTCTTTTTACTCAGACAGCTTGTGACACCTTTCAAATAGTGATTAAACTGACCCCAAAAGTCCTAGCCATGCTTGCTTAAAATGAACATACCATTTTCCAAATGTGAGACACAGACACTGGGGGGGGAGCTAAAAATTAAGGCACATCAGAAACACCTCCTTAAAATTTTGACCTTTAGATTCCAATCCAAAGAGAAAACAGTTTGTTTCAAAACTTATTTGTGTGAGTATTGCTTACCTCTAATGAGACCCAAGAAAACCAGAAACAGAACACAGAGCAGATGGTGGAAGAACTCACGCTCACCTTTGTGGCCCACACCCTTCCACACAGAGCGTTAGAGCTGGGATGGAGACTCAGACACGGCAGGAGTCCTGAAAGGCTCTAACAAATACTTGCCACGAGTTTTCTAGGACTCCGCAGAGAAATGAAATAGGGCAGGGAGAGGCTGAGGCAGCGCATGGATAGCCTAGCGTGCAGGGCGCACAACCAGAAGCGATGACGCGTGAGCACGGAGGCAGGCGCTTACTCCCGACCTGTGGCGGTGGTGCGGTGCTGAAGCGACACTCTCCTTGTCTGTCTCGATTGAACACAACTTTCCAAAGGACCATGTCAAGGAAGAAGCTCTGAGAGACAGTCCAGTGAGGTAAGAATTAAACATGACCAAGTCGTTTCGTTCTTTTTTAACATGCACATTTAAACATCACTCCACAGCGGGGGCAGCATTAGTCAAAAACATGGTTTGATTTTCATATACAAACTTCGCTTAATACCGCAAAAGGCTGGGGGACCCAACAGCGGGCCTGCTGTAACAAATGCAACATCGCTGAGTTCTGATAAAAGGGGCTGCTAAGTCTTCTATGAAATACGGCTTTCTAGACAACTTAGTCCTTCCCCAGATTCAACAGTGCTCATTAATCTGAAGCCTTCTTGATGACAAGGAATTATTTTCACTGAATAACATTATGATTCTTTAAAGAGCAAGAACAGTACCATGTGAGAAGATACATTTGTACTGTACAAAAATAACGTTTTTAGAATGATTTCTTAAGCTATGCTTTCTAGCATCTGTCACAGAAAAAAATATATTCCCCCAGTAAACTTCAAAAGGTCTACTCCAAAAAGCCATGCCATCTCTCAAACCTAAATACCAAGTCATCTTTCCATCAAGGCAACTGAAATTATGCAGACTTATTGAGAATTATTTCCAATACTCTGAATTTCCTCCCAAATTGCCTTAAACCCAAAAGCCTAAACTCCTAAGTTAAAAACCAGCATTTATTAATAAGCAGTAAATGAAAGCTTGCTAGCTCCTTTTAGAGAAACTGGTCCAAATAAAGAAAATCCTCACAGGAGAGGAAGTAGGTGACTGGCAATGACAACAAGAGTAGTCGACAACAAGAGTACAGAAGACTCTTGCAGGTCACTCAAAAGGAAACGCCAAGCTCCAGTGACCAATGCTAAAAATCAGACAAGTGCGTAACACCTGGCATTTTACACTTTCAAAAAAGCCCTGCTGTTGATCAGTGGTGGCGAGCCTATGGCACTCCTGCTGGCACACAAAGACCTCTCTGGCCAGCATGCGAGCCAGGCTGCCATAGCAGCTGGGCATCAGATGCTAAGGTTAACTGCAGGGCTGGCAGTCTGTGCTAAGTGGGGCTGGGGTTGCAGTGTGGGCACTGGGCCTCTAAAAGGTTCGCCGTCACTGCTAAGTGTATGCGTGTTGACCGCGGTTTCTGGAGAAAGCCGCTCTTCCTCTGCCTCTGGTGAACAGGCGGTGAACAGGCCAGGCCCTTTTACCCTACATCGCAGACAGGATGGCACAGGCCCAACTCCCCGGCCTCAGGGAATGGAGCGCTACTGGCCTGCTCTGCTTCTGCTGCCCTCGCTCACATGTGCCCAACGCTGCGCACACGAGCACAGCCAAGCCCACACTCTTCTTGTGGTTACCTCGGAGCACAGGAAAGGCCAGAGAAGGCACGGAGATTATGTGCCTTATGTGGGGACACTGAGCCCTGGGGTCTGCCTGGCCCATCACCCATCCTCCTCTCTCACTTTCCATTACACCACCCGGGACCCCAAGCCACGAGGCAGGCGTGTGGCCGCCTGCAGTGCTTACCTCCACCGTGACAGATATAAAGGCATTGAGGAGGACAATGAGGAGCATGGTGATGCGCCACTCATACGGGACACACACGAGCTGCAAGACAAGCAAGGTTCAAGTTGGGTATGCAGAGGTTCCAAATTACTAAACCCTTGTCATTTACCAAATATCTAAATATACCACTACTTACTCCTCTACAACGCCACAAGGCATAGATTATATTCAAGTTTAAACGATGAGAGGTTGGGAAAACAATTAAGCAGCTAACCTTGGTGCCAAACCCCATCCCCAGACTCAATAGATGCAAGGCATGTTTCCATGGTATAAATAAAAACCTGTCTTTCAATCAGAAGGCAGGCACTAACCTAATAATGAAGTACTGATCAAACCTCACATTACTGTAAAGGCAAATTCACAAAACACATACAATTTAAGCAGTACAATTTAAAATTCAAAGAAATATAATTAACCTGAAAGAGGGTTTATGTCTGAAAGTCAAAGATGAGAAAATAATGCTGTATGTGACAGGGAACCAGAAAAAAGTGGGGGCAGCTCGCCCATCAGCTGCAGATTGGATGGAAAGACATAACACTTTTATACAATGGAGAACTACTCAGCTGTAAGGAAGGAAAACCTTGAAGCTCTTGTGGGTAAATGGATACAACTTGAGATCATGCTCAGCGGTAAAAAGATTCAGAATCACTTAGGTGAGTAGGGGGTTGCCTCCCTAACCTAAAAACTAAAGGAGTTAGTGGGATACAAAATGTACAATGCACTGTGAAAGTGAAAGGGGAGGAACTGTTTAAAAAGGGAAGGCAGAGGACACTGGTAATCTTGTATTATGACTTGAAACTCATAGTGTTTTCATCGCTCTTTAGTTTGGTTATATTCTGTACTAGTCTGTCTACTAGATTTAATGGCATGGACAGCTATTCCAAAGATAGCAGGATATACTACGGTAACAATTTTTAATTTCCAATTAACTTAATTTGAAGCCCTGTATTGCTTTCACTGTCTTGTTTTGACTGATTTTATTCTAATTCGAGTATCAAGTCTGAGGGTATAGGCAATAAGATTCACTGTGATACCCTCCCAAAAATAAAGTTCACTGTAAAATCTGATTAACGTCTATGACCTAAAAAATAAAAAAGACCCCATGGGTGTATCACCCAGTAGCCAGGCCACCCTGCTGGATGCCAGGGCCACAGCTGGAAAGCAGGCAGATGCTCTGGCAAAGCGGGAACGGGCCCTGGAGATCCTAAGTGCCCCAGCAATGGCCAGGGGAGCATGATGAGAAGTCTGGCCAGTGAGGGGAGGAGAGGGCCTGGCTGACTGGCTATGGGGAAGGGGACGTGCCAAGCATAGGTGGACAGAGATGGCAGGTAGGGGTGGAGCCGGGACTGCAGGTGAGATCACCTGCCAGTGCAGGGCAGTGCAGCATGGGGGGGGGGGAGAAGAAGGCAGGGAAGGTGGGGAGCGCTGTCATTTAAGAAGCAAGCTGAGCGGATGGAACACAGAGAAGCCCGAGAATGCAGTCCCACAGGAAGGAAAGGCCAGAGGGAGCAAACTACCAGAGAACTGAAGAGAACACACCTCAGCGATGGCGTGGTTCAACGGCCCAGCACTGAGGAAGTCCAGGAACATCAGGGGGAAAGTGTTAAAGGACACGGTGTCATTGGACTTCGGGTCTAACGAAGTGTGTGCCAACATGAAGACTTCATAGACACACTGTTGTGGCTCCCCCACACGCTAAACCCAAGGGCAGGGAGCTAAGCAGCTGCAGAGAGACGGCCCCCAGCACCAGGCTGGGCTGTGAGGAGCCACTCCTCCTTCCCCAGGGGACTCACCCACACGACAAGCCTGCCCTTCCACGTTCCCACCCTCTGTGACAAACTGTTTTCTTCACACGTTACTTCGGTATCCTGGCAATAAACAGCCTAACACGTTTTGACCATGCAATTCCATTTCTCCATTTACTTAACCTGTAATATAAATTTGTACTGAAGTGTGCAAAAATCTGCAAGGTAGTATTTACAATAGCAAATGTCAGAAACAACCTACGTATCTATCAAAATTGGACTGCTCACACAAACTGGGTAAATCCGCACCACAGGATACTTATTCCACGTGTAAGCTCATGGGACTTTCAGTGGGAGTGAGAGGATACAGCTTCAGAAGGCTGTAAGTGCTGACCAAGTAGGATACAGGGGCCTGGCTCCATCCCCACCTCACATAACTTCACTCCCAAACCGTCAGGAACACACAAGGAAGGAAGACTAAGCCTGACCTTACTGTGCAGCAGGGGCAAAGCCCAAAACGAAACCACAGCATCTCAAATCCAAAAGGCTTAAAGAGTGCATCATGATCTAACGAAGTTTAATCCAGGACTCCAACATTAACAACTGAGTATCAGTTGAATATCATTCACTACACTGTGCTGGGAGAAAACTGTGTGGCTATTATGGTTAAACAGAAATGTCTGCCAAAGACTGGAGAGCCTGACCCTCACTCACTCAATAAGCAGTGCTGTGAGACGGAGCCCCAAGCGGGGACTGTCATGAAGACCTAGCATCATTACGGCCGCTGAACCACCGAAGTGCATGTGCTGGAGGGGTAACAGCATAGCTTGTCCCCATTCCTTCCCTCTTCTGGTCCTCTCCCTCTACTTCCTGGCTCCCAGGAGGTGAGTACCTGTCCTCTGCCTGGCCCGTCTACCACACTGCTCCCACCTGGGAACTGGCTGACCATAGACTGCAACCTCCAAAACCACGGCCACAATAAATCTTTCCTCCTCAAAGCTGTTCCATCACAATGAGGGGAAGCTAGCACAGTAGTCACAGCCGCAGTGCATTGTCTTCCCGGCTATGTTGGGTGCAAGCGCGAGAGCTGAGAATTCAAGGCCAGCCTGGACGACAGAGATCTCATGTCTGTGTTTAAAAAAAATTCTCAACTTAACAGTACTGGAGAAGAAAGTCTACTTAACCTGACAGGCTACATACCCTGGGCCCTGAAACACACAGGGCAGGGAAAATTACGGAACAAGACAAGACAGTACTTATTCCAACTAACACACTAAAGTGAAAACTACTGAGAGGTGGAAGGACTGGGAATGTCCAGAATGAGTTTAAAGTCTTTATAAACAGCAAACCCTGGGGAATCTAAAATGTGTCAGGATGAAGTGTGACAATGCTTCTGCATTCAAGTGAACATCAAGAGAAACTGTACACAACACACCAGCAGCGAAGACTCAGACAATGTCCTTTTATGTAGATAGCATTGAGCAGGGGAACAAAACTGTAATTCTCCAGGAGTGAATCTAACCAAGAAAGTGCAAAAATCTTCTGAGAGAAAAATCAACAGATTTACTGAAAGATATGCAAGATCTGAAGAAACAGACACACGTTCATGGAAAGGGAAACTAATCAAACCTCCCACAAACTTACTGATAAACTCAGTGGAATTCCAACTCCCAGCGTGCTCTTCCTGGTATCTGACAAGTTAAACTCACACTTAAGAGGATGGATGGAGAAGAGCCAAAAGGCCTGGCTGAATGGCAGTGTGGGCTGGGGCAAGGGTTCTGCGTGGCCTGTGTTACGAAAGCCATACTGATATGGGCAGTGAGAAACAAAGATACAACACAGAGCCCCAGGAGACTAACGGTCTGCAGAGTCCATGGAAAACTGACACAGAAGAGAGAAACTGCTGAGCAGGTAACAGCAAATGGGTATGGGGGGGGGGGCGCAGATATGATCCCATCTCAAAATACTACAAATTGAATTTAAATGAGTATAATTAGAAAATTAAAACCATCACACTAAAACATTTTATGCCCACTAGACAAGACCAAGTGTTGGCAACAACGCAGAACAAATCTCATACAGCAACAGAAACATGAACTGGGCCAGAGATTTAGCAAACGCAAGGTTGTGAGTTCAGTTCCTGGTACCACAGGGGGGGAAAAAAAAAAAAGAAAGAAAGAAAAGAAACAAATATGAACTGATGCCATCACTGTGAATAACCACCTGCCACATGGCAGAACTGGAAAGTGTGAGCTGAATCGAACCAGGGCTAAACCACCAGAGGCCACCTCTGTCCCAGTGCTACAGTGAAGCAGGGTGGGGAGTAACCAGAAAGGGACTTTAGCACTGTGATTTGAAATAATCAGCACCCAAGGTGGTATTTAAAAGCTGATGGGCTTTTGGTGGGCTTTATTACTTCCTTGTTCTTCTTTTGTGTGCACTGGGGATGGAATGCAGGGCCTTTGCACTGAGCTACAGTCCCAGTACAACAGCAGACTTACCTGCCTGCCTGCTTGCTATTTATTTGGGACAAGGTCTCATAAATCCCCAGGTTGCCCAGGTTGAGCTCAAGCATGTGATTCTCCCGCCTCAGCCTCCCAGTGTACTGGGCTCACAGGTGTGCACTACCATTCCTGGCTGGTTGTTTGTTTCTGGGGTGAACCACTTCCACCTTTACCTGTACATTAAGATGTATCCTCCACACACCAAGAGATATGTAAAACAATGTTCATGGCAGAATTATAGTACAGGAAAAACCACAACAACCCAAGTACAGTATTTGCCAACGAAGAAATGAATTCTACTATACTCCTACATTACTTGGCAGTGAATACGAAATTCGTATATATGTGAACACAGACAATCTTAGAAACAATGTCTATGGCCAAAAGTCAAGGAAAAAACTAGTAAAATGTTATTTTTTATAAAGCTAAATGCAAGTAAAACCGTCTCTTATGATCTCATGCATACACGTTAGTCTCTCAGGAAAAACAGCTCAGAGTGCATGGAGAAAGGTGTGCAGAGGACTGACTGACCATGCTACCTAATCTCAGGACAGCAGGACGGGCTCCTTGTGGTACTTTGCTACTCACTGTGTTGTTCTCACCACGGAAACACATGTGCGCTTCCTTTTGTACAGAGAAGTGTTACATCCTTTGTGAAGATTTTGAGTGACAAAAATGAGGAATTAAATGATAGGCAAAGACAGTGCATTTGTAGAGCACCTTAGAAGCAGGATAAAGTTCTGAGTATACAGACCAAGCCCTTTTTGTCTTAAACCCCAAGGAAGGGGCTTTAGCTCCTCTGCACAGGGAACTGGAAGCAGAGGCGTAAACTACAGAGATGTAAATGTGCTCTTCATCTGTTTTAGAGACTCCTTCAATCACTTCACCATACCTTAGAAAAAGGGGAAAGAGATCCAAGAAAAGAGAAACAGAGACAGCTTGCCTCTCTCCTCAGTGACAGAAGGGCACACTAGAGGCACAGTGTGACGCGTTATCAAAGGCCCAGGGCCTCATGAAGCTGCTTACAATTCACATACCAGTGTCCCCTTCTGTCACTGTCACACTGCTGCCACCCAGTGACTATCACCCTGGAGACAAGAAGTAATAAATGATGTGTATCAGCCTTACCTCAAGAACCTCGTCAACAAAGGCAATTGGATGCAACATGATGAATAATACGAAAAAGGACAAAATAATCACAGATACAACAAAAAAATCTGGAAAAGAAAATAAAACAATTAAATTAGAAGTTCTTGTAAAGAAATGCGGTCCAATAACAAGTGGGCTGCTATCATTTCTGAACTGTGTCTTAAATACTCCTGTTCCCCCCAGGCATGTGCAGCTATTCCCTGCAGTTAGGAACTGGTGCCGGCTCCCAGAGATCTGTGTACAAGATAGGAGGATACAGATACTTAAATTTTATTAACTTCAAAGTATTTCAGAAAATAATTAGCACTTTACAGATAAAATCTAGACCTTTCACAGACATTTACCTCTATGTATAACTAAGCCACTATGTAATTTACAAATGAGAGACTAGACAAGTGTAGCAAAGCGAGATCACCATTTAAAACCCATGTGCAATTAAAATTACTGTCAGAAATGCTGTGCAACACTGATTTTTACTATTAGGTAGGTCAAAATCCTAAGCAAAGGCATTCTAAATTATTAAATTTATGTATATTTCTGATAAGTGAATCCCATTTTTTAATTAACCTATTTCATGAAAATATTTCCACAGAAAATAGCATAGAAGCTGATCTGTTCTTAAATGTAGATTACCCTTGCTACAAAAGGTAAAAGAGAAAACATACCCAGCAGTAACATCATTCAAAAATAAAATTCTATTCATAGGCCATTCTGCTAAGCAAACACATATCCCACACATGATATGCAAACACACACACATATCTTTGCACAATAATCCATTAAAAAGGATGACCAGTTTCCCAAGTATGCTGATGGTCCCCAACACTTCCTCTTTTTTTTTCAGTCTGCTTTTACCAGTTGCTACATGAAGTCAGCCTCAAATAGAAACTTATTAAGATCATAAATAATGAAACCCTTACTATTGTCTTTTAAAAAGGTGAAGAAGTGAGTGGCCTTCATACTAACTATAACTGAAGTCTCCCTGCTCTTATGATGTTGAGTCTCAATGCTTTTTGAGATGCAGTATTTGTCATCCAGAGAGACTCTACTCTCTGTACATATATACCAGTGCTTACACAGCTCTAGCGCTGCAGGCTATACTAAACGAACCTAACACACAACAGTCCTAGCACTGCGGTTTACACTACCACTCATGCCAAAAGTGAGAAAACTATTTTACTGTGAGCTACTGACCAGCAAGAGGAAAAAACGAGGCACCTATGTTGGGCAATATACGGTTTTGTCCTGTTTTGTTTTGAAGATTTTAAAAATTCTACGACTAGAGGCTGGGGATTTAGCTCAGCGGCATAAGCACCTGCCTTGCAAGCAGGCAGTCCTGAGTTTGATCCCCGGTACCGATAAAAAGGAAAAAGACAAAAGAAAAGGAAAAAAAAAATTTCTACAACTACGAACACAGAATGTAATATCCTGTTCCATAAATGTAAAAGTAACACATAAGTTAGTCACCTAAAAGTTATGGTCAACTAAAGAAAAAGTGTTTAGGATGTGCAGCACATAAGGGGGGGAAAAGCAAGGAAGAACTAGAAAAAATGTTAAAAGAAACTCTAGAGACATAGAGAAAGAAAAGTTTCATTTCATTAAAAACAAAAACAAAATCCTACTGAATAGTTTCCAAATCTTACTGCATTTGTACCATTGTAGCAAAAGTAAATTTGTGAAATGGCTCCTGATAAACATACATTACCAGAAGGCAACTCGGCTCTACCTGAAAAGCATCTCTCAAATGTTCCTATCTTGCTTCCTGAGCCAGGAAATAAATAACTGAATCTCTGTTTAGCCTGGAGAGAAAGACACACTATTCACAGAGGCACTTCATGACAGGAGAGGTGGATAGCTAACAGGTTTATACAGCCACATAAAATTTTTTAAAGGCAGTGAGGACTTCAGCCAAGAAAGAAAATCCCACACACTTCCATGTAGAGGCATGTGCATGTCCTGCTCTCAACGCCTCACTTCCGGCACTGCTGCCACTAAAAAGTCTTCTCCTAAACACCGTCATTAAATCAAACTGTGTGTTGGCAGTGACCAAGGGTCAGGGAGGGAGTGTGGCCCTTGCTAAAGACATAGACTGCACTTTAGAACGACATTTACAAAGATAAGTGAACCGAACAAGTTACTCAGAGTCTATTTTGTCTATAAAATGGGGATATGATGAAGACTATATAGCAAAGAGCTTTGTAAGTACCCCCAAATGGAAAGTAATATGCAAATTCCAACTTATTAAGTATCCCTCATCTGATGGCAATGGGAATTTATTGTTACAGAAGCGAGATACTTTCACTGGAATGTGACACCAAAATAAGGCATCATGGGGGCTGGGGACTGCGAGCAGCAGCACAGTGTCTGCCTACCAAGTGCAAGGTCCTAAGTTCGACTCCCAGTGCCAAAAAAAAAAAAAAAAAAAAAAAAAGGCATCATGAACGATTTCCTGCATATTTCCCTTCATGATTCAGATACAACTTTGCATAAAGTAAATACATATATGCTATCTGTCCCTGATCTATGGATTCTTCCTATCCCTTCCTGGGGCTGAGACCACAGATGTCAAGATGGTTCCCTTACTCAGTTCCTGGTCTTTAAAAGGCCACTTCACTCTTCAAGGCATTTAGAGCTCTGAACTGTTCCCACCATAGGCCCAGGAGACACTGCCAGTGCAGTAACGATGCCTCCACAGGCAGAGAAAGAGGTTGGATTTAACAAGTAATAAACAGTAGGAATCAAGCAAGATGCTGTAATAAAAGTTGAAGCTAAAACCTAAGAAATCACAGGTAGTTCAAAGAAAATGTAAGAATTTACTAAGCGTGTATCATCATGATCCTTTACATGAAGCATGACCAAATCTAATAGAAAATGTAACATAGGTAAAGTTGAAAATGAAGAGTGACAGACATTCCTAAAACGGGATTACAGTACCCGACTTCAAACATTCACGCTGTGAACAGACCTTGCCTCATGAAGATTTGTAGATGCAAACAAATCTCAGAAGCAGCTCTCGAGCCTGCCGGACACTGTCACAGCCGTGTGTATGAGCTCACTGTGCAGTGCGACAGCATAAGCAGCACAGCGCTCAGTCAGAGCCCAGATGTCCGGAGCAAGAGGAAAAGCAGGGTGCTGTGCGGGGGACGCTGGGAAGCACAGAGCGCTCGTGCCTGTGTGTCACAGGTGTGTGAGACTCGCTCTGTCAGACTTAAAAACAAATACAACTTAGGAACATTCTCCTGGAACAGAACTCATTTGTAAGCCAGGCTCTTAATGTACTGGGTTTTTTTGTTGTTTGTTTTTTTTTTGTTTTATTTTGTTTTTCTTTTTTGTCTTTTTCCTTTTTATCGGTACTGGGGATCGAACACACAACTGCCTGCTTGCAAGGCAGGCGCTTATGCCGCTAAGCTAAACCTCCAGCCCCCTAATGTACTGTTTTTAAAAATCATAATCACAAAATAAATTTAATCTGCCACACTTGCTTAAGTATAGAAAAAACTGTACTAGGTTCTAGGCAAGAAACTGTTCCAATGAACTCCCGTGAGAATGCACATCCATGACAGACCAAGCGACACCAACGAAACCCACACATGCGCGTGACACTGTGCTGCTGCCTCGTCCCGAGCCTTCAGAGCAGGTTTGGGGACAGGACGTATCTCTGCCCATCCCCTGCAGAAAGGTGCATGCTGCCACAGGAAGGGCGGTCAACTTCTCATCACAGGTCTGCCACGGTATACTTTTTAGTAACTTAAAAATAACTTCAGTAACTTAAAACTCCCCACCACTGGGCTGGGGAGTTAGCTCAGTGGCATAAGTACCTACGTTAGCTCAGTGGCATAAGTACCTACCTGGCAAGTATAAGGTTGTGAGTTCAATCCCCAGTACCAAAACAAATAAATAAAGTCCATCATTTATTCAAGTCAAGTAGAAATTAATGCCAGTATGACATTTCTTAAGCATTTAATATTTTGAAATTTTCCAAATCACATAAAGATGTACTTTAAAAACTAACACTCTCCTTTTAGGACAGATTTGCTTAGAATTCTACAGTTAGCTTTTCTGATGGAGTTACTTTGTTTATAAAGCAGTGTGTGCACCAATTTTCTCATTTTAAAAAAAGCATTTTTCTTTCATTGACATATTTAGCTCTTGGACATTTCTAGTATTTCTCTGAAATTTAAAAATACTGGACTAGAGTGTGGTGACACATGCCTGTCATCCCAGCAGTCAGAAGGCTGAGCCAGAAGGACCACTGCAAGTTTGAGGTCAGCCTGGACTGCATAGAAGTTCAAGGCCAGCCTGAACTACATAACGAGACCCCCCGTCAAGAAAATACAAATTAAAAAATTTTTAAATTAAAAATATTGGACTAAAAGTGTATATCAACTTTAGTTATTAAGATCAATTTTACAAAGTTATCTTCAGTAAAAAACGCTCTTACAGGGCTAGGGATTTAGCTCAGCGGCATAAGCACCTGCCTTGCAAGCTGGCAGTCGTGAGTTCGATCCCTGGTACCGATAAAAATGAAAAAGACAAAACCAAACAAACAAACAAAAACACCGCTCTTACAAGTACAGTGATAGTAGTTCAAGAAAAAGCTTTTTGTCCCACAACACAGTTGAAATAGTGTTCTTGGGAACAGTTATGACTCCAGTCACATATAACTAACACATGTAATAGTTATTTGTTAAGTAAGTATGCACTCCAAAAGAAAAAAAAAAAGAGAGAGAGAAAAACTACCAGTAAGACAAATCTCAATCCTACTTGTCCAAAATACAATAGAATGTGCCCCCTCAACCCACCTGAGGTAAAAGTAGAAAAAAAAAAAAATTCATGTGGTAACGTGCCATCAGTTCCAACACAAGAGGGACTGTAATTTTATTCTGCCTAAGCCATATGAAATACTGTCCTGGGAACTTGCTAGCCAGAACACTGCCCTCTCCTCACAACTACAGAAGAGAAATCTGCTATTCCCTTCCAAGACACTGCAACTCTACAGATGCTCTATATATTCATTAGTACGATTCTCATTTCCTTTTTTTTTTTTTCTTTTTCCTTTTTGATACCAGGATCAAACTCACAACCTCATGCTTGCCAAGCAGGCACCTATGCCACTGAGCTAGATCCCCGGCCATGCTTCGGATTTCTAAAAACTGTCTATTCATATACACTAATGGACAGCTCTGGATTTCGGTCATTTAAAATGCTACAGCCTGTTGTCACGGGCAAACAAGTCCACACTGGCACAAGTCTCCAGGTGGATGCTAGCCCTGCTGGTGTAAGAGAAGAAAATGGGAAGGGAGGAAGAAGAGGGGGAGACGGTAGCTGGCGCTGCACAGACACCCAGAAGAAATGGATGATCCCCACTTCTCCCTCAAGAACCTTGGTTCCTGCTTCCAATCCTAATGCAGTGTGATGCAGAGAGAAGCTGCAGCCAAAGTAACCAGCTGTGAAGACCAGCAATGCTTAACATTAGGGGGCTTTAACCTTAAATTTTGGGACACAAGTCTCATGAGAGCAAAACATGACAATACATCTAAACCACTAGCTCATTCCAGCTGTGAAGACCTGTTTCTTTGAGAAGACAGTTAAAACTCTTCTCCATCACTTTTAAAGGGGAAAGGCAGGGTATAAATCACAATAGATGTCAAACTTACAATTCTTATAGCAAGGTTGCCTGAAGGGTTTTCCTTTTGAAAAGACAACTGCCACTGTGAGGTACTGGAAGCTGGAGATAAAAAACACTGTGGTGTTTTCGTAATTTTTAATTTTATCTGGTTCAGTTTCATTGCATGAGTGTGAAGAATTCCAATGCAGGCTTCCCGTTGTATTACAAGCGCTAGAGCACACAAAAAAATTTTGCATTAGGAAACAATGTCCATTTCCCAAAAGAAATCAAGAGCAAAAGGTCCAACAGTATTAATACTGAATAAACAAAAAAGATGCAAGAATAATAAGGGATTTCTCTTAGCCAGACATTATAATCAGATAAAAAAAATTAGAAACATTTAATAAATCTCTCTCATTTTTAAATACTGGGTTAACAAACCAGAGTCTGACGTTAGCTCTACAACTCTCAGGGCTAACCCGGGAAGGATTATTGCATCTCTTCCATCTTTTTCCTCGCCTGTGAGACCATCCGTTCCTCACAGGCTTCCATGGGGCTCTACATCAGGGACACACCAGCAGGGCACAGCACAGGCTGGCCCTCCATGTTCTAGCCTACCTGGCCCTCCTTTCCAAATCCAGGTGGGCAGCACTGGTGGATTACACAGAAACAAATACGTCAAGTCCACGCCCTTACTCAAACAGCCACTGCAGCAAGCACAGGTAAGTGATGAAAAAATGGTACACTGCTAGCACTGAACTTTAAGAGTCTCAAGAGGATTCTACCTGCCCCATCCCTGCAAGGCCTCCACATGCCAGGCTAGTGCTCTAACCACCAAGCACACCTTCAGCTCTATCTGTTCCTGTCGATGGGTTAGAAAATAGTGACTTTTACAATTTTTAAAAACAATGCCTCAACAGGTAAACTAAAAATACATACAAAAATTTAATTCAACAAAATTATTCACATTTATATAAAATAATGAAAACTGCAGAGTACAGATAAGCAAACAGATGCACTTAATGTCATGTATTTACATTTTCTAAAATGCCATTTCCTGAACTGGTGTAGACAAGTTAGAAGTACAAAGACTTTGGGACTAGATGACTCCAACTTTCTTATTTCACAGAGATGAAATGCAAGTCAGACCCCTCCAAACTTCATGCTGAAACCACACCCCCACTGTGAGACACAAAGAGGAAGGACCGAAGGACAGGGCTCCGCTCTTGCAGATGCATAAATCCACTCAAGCAATTCATCAGCTCACAAGTTATTCCGAGAGGGCTCTATTATGAAAGCTAACCTGGCCAGGTCTCTTGTCCTGCACATCTTCATCCTACCCAGGAACACTGCCAGCAAGGAGATCATTCCCCTATGTAGCCCTGCGATCTTAGACCAGACTGGTGAGTCAAATCTGCCTCTTCATACCTTAGCCTGTGGTTTGTGTTATCAGCAACAGAGAACAAACAAAACCCCTCCTACAGGTAGGAGCTACCAGGACAAAAAGGGAAACATAAGCCAAATTGTGTGCATGCAAGTTTTTACATACATTTGCATACCATTTTATGTGCATATTTACACATATTCTACACAGATGTTTTGCACAGGTTCACCTACTACTTACTCTAGATATGGAGGGCACACTTTATACCAAAGCTGCTGCTTGACCCAGAAAAACCCCAGAGACTGAAATCCAATGGAGATGATCATCTGAGACAGAACGGAGAAGAGCAAGGCCCCAGATATGAGACCTGAAGGTGGCCTCTGTGCCACAAGTTCCTTCCAGGCAGGATTTAAACTCACTGCATCAAAAAGAAAAGGGACACAGAACAAAATTCATTTGGAAACTTGAAAAAATGGTTTTGACTAACAATTCTTTAAACATGGAAAGTTCCCCCAAGTCAAGACAGATTTATACATATTTAACCAATCTGTAAAAATAAACAATTTAGGCTTTTCTTTAAAAAAAGCCTCCAGAGTATTATTTATATTCCTATTGAAATGCAGAGGAAACATCAATACAAATAAAAACATTAAATGTAAGTTAAAAAAAACTATAAAATTACATTTAACAAAGTCCATTATTTTCTGAGTCTTTAATTGCAAAAGTAGGTAAAATACACTTTTCCTTTAAAGACACTAAAAACTGTCTAAAGCAATGTAAGCATATCAGTAACAAAATTTTAAAAAACCTCATCAACCATTAAGGTGATGCCCCCTGGGCTTTGCATCTACTGAACAGTTTCTGTTTCTCTTTTTGTAATAACCTGTGAGGAGCTACACTGACACACTAGTGTCAAGCACTAGTCTTCAGACATCTTGTTCACTAGATTCACTATCTACTCAAGACCGTCTCGCTCACTCTCCACAATCAGGGTGATTCTGCAGCCCAGGGGTACACAGTAATGTTCGGAGATGCTACCAGTTGTTGCCCTTGGAGAACACTGCTACAGTCCAGTGAGGAAGAGCCAGAGACACCGCTGACACCCTACAAGGCCCAGGATGCCGCCCCACAGAGAATTAATCTGCCTAAGATGTGAGTGATCAATGTCCTATCAGTCTCAGCCCAACAATCCTCTTGTTAGCACTTTATCTCACAAATACTTACTTCTATATGGACAGACTGGGACCTTGGATTCAATGGGCCATCCCTACTAGCATCATTATTTTGATTCAGTCTCCCCAACACTATATTCTGGTATGACTCATCTACAGGACACAGTGTCACTTTTGTGCTATCCCTCCAAAATGCCTGAGTCCAAGGAGACTAAATCAGAACAACCACACTCAAACATCAGCATCAGGATGCTCCAAAAGGCTGGGGGTCTGTGCTAAATGAGAGACTGAAGTGATGCCACTGTAACGAGAGCAAGTGTGGGGCTGCACTCCAGGCTGGTTCTAATCCAGCGGATGAGGAAGAAAACAAGCACAAAGGACATTATTGGGGCAAGTGACAAAATGCAATAGAGGGCTTTGGACCAGATAATATTATCTCCATGTGCAGTTTCTTGATTCTAACTGCACTTACTTTTAGGTAATACCACTAAAAAATTCAGTGACAAAGGGGTATGACCAGACTCACTCTCAAATATTTCGCTAAGAGGAAAAAAGAAACAGTGAGGCTGAACATAAATGAGATAAAAGAGCACATTTATAGGGAATCGGGAGACAAAAGCTATGTTACCACTGCTGATCTAATTCACCAAAGCTCAGTACATCACGTCAGAACTTCTCACGTCAAATCAGTAACAAAGCAAAACACTCACTTGTAAATACCAGTACCAAAATGATTGCCATGTCAATGAAGAGAAACTGGAAGTCTCCTAGGTTACTTAAGATCTACAAAAATAATTTTAAAACATAGTTACAAAAATTATTTTTACTGCACTGCTCCCAGGTTATAGTTTATTTTTTCACCAATAATAACAATTCCAAAAATACACAAAGTTCTACAAAAGAACTCGCATAAAAATGGAAGGGTCTGCCTGCACCTTTAAAATTAATCAACTATATATACATAAACATTTGATTTAATGTGTTAGCACAAAAGGCATCCCCTTAAGATTCATCGAATTAAAAACCTCTTAAAAACCAGGTGTGGTGACATACCCATATAATTCCATCTCTCAGGAGGCTGAAGTAGGCAGATCACCAAGCATTTGAGGCTGGATTACACAATGAGTTCAACATTGCAAGACAATACCCCATCCTACCCCCAAATCAAGCATGTACGTGTCTCAGTGTAAGAGCCCCACTCCACCCTGGGCACAAGGCTGCACTCACGGAATACAGCAGAGTAACACTGGCATACTGAATGATACTGTACAATGCCATAAACTTAAACACACAGAAGGAAGTCATCAAAGCAGCACGGCCTTCCCTAGGGAGAGAAAGACTGAGTGTGAAGGAAAGCATTTCAAAGTCTGTTCAGATCACAGTTATATCTGGATAGATGCATGTAAACATTCAATAGCTATCAATCTACAGGTCTACTTAAAGAGCTAAGAAAAACAGAGCAATCTGTTAATAATAATTATAGTTCAAACGGGCTATCAGTCATTAAAATTTATCTTCATACGGAGAAATAACACAAGATACAAAGAAATAATGAACACAATTTCAATTTGCAGTACCTGATGAGGTTTGGCACACAGGAAATACTGGGGGTTTTAGAGGTGAAGGGCGACGCCACTGAAGCCTCAAGTTCTGACAAGGAAATGCCTCCATGTGCCCTTTTCAAAGCCTGAAGGTTGTGAGGAAAAGGCTGGGTAAGTTTGTGAACATCGTTTAGGCTAGAGTAAGAAGTGCAGCAGTAAATGGTAGGACTATACTTACACCGCAATCATTTGCTCCATCTCCGCACATCCCAACAAAATAACTAAGGACCAAAATAATTGGAAAGCATTAATTTCTTGAATGACACAACATCTAAGTTAATAAGACTTCTCCAGTACACATCATGGAGACCTGAGAGATCAAGAGGCTCTGGATGGAACAGTGGGCCCTCCCATTACGATGGTCACAGGCATGGTGTGCTGTTAACAGCACTGGCCAGAGTGAACTGGTTGTGTTACGGCTGCATTTATGTCACAGCAAGGGCAAATCGTCCTGGCATCTCAATTTCCTCACCTGTAAAGGCTTGTGACAAGATGGTCTTTAGTACATTTACTTTTTATTTATTGGTAAATTTCTCCCTTAAAAACATCAAACACAACTGTGACTAAACCTATGAAGTCACTTCCCTCAGGAATAGAGACCTGACTGTACTCTACCCTGAAGAATCCCCTGGAGAAGAAATAGAGGGTGCTTTTCCTTAGCTATTAACAAGCACACAAGCTTATTTTCAAAAGGCACTTCAAGTTCTCACTTACCTTATAAATGACTTTATACACGCACTCTGTGTGTGTGTGTGTGTGTGTGTGTGTGTGTGTGTGTGTGTGTGTGTGTTGAAATGTCAAACATTTGATACAAGAAGTATTTCAGGCTTCAAGTTTTTTAGATTCTGGAATACCTGCATAGACTTCAACAACTAAGCATTCCTCACTCAAAAACTTCCAATGTGAACTCCTCCAAATTCTGTGGCAATACTCCAAGAATTTCTGATTTTGGGGCATTTCAGATTTTGCGTATTAGGATTAAGGATGTTTGGCATATATCTAAGAAATATTAGCTACGATTCAGGTTGAAGATGGAACTGTTAATTCAAACAATACCCCAAAATACAAAGTCCACCAATACCTACTCTACATTTTGCAGTGCTTCTACCAACTGTGTCTTCTGATCAGGTGCCATACGAGCAAACACCGTTCCGTGCAACATCAACTGGAAAAGAACATTAATTTTTTAAAAATACTCTCCACAATACACTCATGTGAACACATCCACAAACTCACTCTCACTTACCTTAGGAACCAAATCTTGAAAATGCTCTAGAATCACGGAAAATGATTTTCCATTCATGGCAAAATGGTAACGGGTGGACTGCAGGTCCTCTAAGCTATCATGAGCCAACTTCACTGGAATCACCTGTGGACAAACATTGGGCACTGCAGTTAGGCTACCACACCACGTCACATGATCTACATTAAATCCACTTGCTCTAAAACTCAACTGTTTCTTTAGCTATTTTAATCAAGATGCTAAAGATTAAACATTTCTTCAAAATGAAAATCTTTTCTTTTCTTTCTTTCTTTTTTTTTTTTTTTTTTTTTTTTGAGACAGGAACTCACTATGTCATTCAAACTCACTGCAGTCCTCCCTCCTCAGTCTCTAAGTGCAAATCTGTTTTTAAAAGTACCTACAATGGGGCCAGACACAGCGCCTGTCTGGCAAGCACAAGATCCCGAGTCAATTCTCAGTACAAAAAAAAAGTACCTATAACATTCATTTTTTAAAAATATGCAAAAAAAGGGGGGGGCAGTAGCATAAGCACCTTGGTAAATGCGAGGCTGTGAATTTGATCCCCGGTACCAAAAAAAAATTTAAATAAACTTGTTTTTAAAAAATGCAAAAATAGAAAGAAAACAGAAAAAGAAAAAACAAGATTAAATGCCATTTTTAATTTGAAGATATAAAGATTAAAGTAAGTACAAGGGTGCCTTCATTCATGAGCTCCTTTCAAAAGATTCTTGTTACAAACCGAAGTGGGTAAGAATCAAATCAAATTCCCCCCTAAGGTCAACACTGAATTTGATTCAGTTCTCATCCAACTTGGCTTGCAACCAGAATCATGGGAGGAATCAAGCTCATGAACTGAGGCACCACATGTGTAGAAGCTTAAGAACCACGTGCATCATTTGTTACTAACTACTTAAAAATAGGGCACTGACTGTGCTTTAACACACCACTTTTAATACTTGCAGAGTAAATTCAAACAAGCAAGCTTTAAAACAGAAAGTTAAATCTTGGCCTCACCTCTGAGCTGATTGCTGATGAATTGCCACCCTGGGGTAGGGAGTCTGCATAGTGCCAATTTATCTTGGCAACTTTTCCATCCTTTGGAGGCAATGCTTCAGCAATAATAATTTTATCCTGAGGTAGAATCATTCCACAGTCTCTGGCCACAGAAACCGCAGTCAACATATTGTCACCTAGTTTTCAAAATAATTGTATTAAAATTTAAACAGAAATGTAATTGTATCAAACAGGCATTTACTGAGTATCTACGGCAGTCCCTGACTGAGCTGGGCAGATTAAGAATGATGTGTGCTCTTGATCCTGGCCAGTTTTAAACCACATCCTCAGGGCGCACTGATTTTAAAAAGCCTCCTATGGAACAAGTACCTATGTGTAAACAAGTACCCAGAACATGCTTGTGGTGCTAGAGATGGAATGCAGGGCCTTGAGCACAGGAGGCAGGCACCACACCCCAGCCGTGGCCCACAACTCATCAATACACATATGGTCTTCATTCATGTACTGTTTGCCCCGCAACAAACGGCATGGCATGGCACACAGAGCAGATGCTAAGTCAACCTTTGTGGAGGTAACCCAGGAGGCAAGGACACTCTGTGTAGAAGTACTAGAGCAGTATGTAACAGAAAAGGACAATTACAGAACATTACACAACACAGGCGGTTAGGAGAGGTGATCAGAATGGATGCAAGGAGAAGTGAGACAGACAACCCCTCCGTCATGAGAAGGACCCGCTGAAGTGACACAGACGGGCAGTCAGCCCGCAGGGAGAGGGACCCTCCCACTACTGTAACTGAAGGGCGATTCCCACACACCGTTCCACGGGTGCCTTCCTTCAGCCCCTGGGACACAGTCACATTCTGTCATAGCAGAGGAGAACAGCAGCGAGGAGACATGGATGGGAAGTGCCTGAAGGAGGCAACAATGCTGGGATGCCGCACGATTTAGTGACCCTCAACTATACGGTAAAAAGTGTATTAGACGAATTTCTCAATCTAACTCCTAATATATACGCAGGCTTTTTTCATGCGAGTCTTACTGAACACACAAAAGCCATAAAGTAAGTAACTTCTGGTATCGAGAAAGAGTTGCCACAATGTCATACAGCTAAGGAAGTTATCTAAAATTACCAACTAAGAATGCAAGAATCATTTGGGGTGGCAGAAAAACAACAAAACAGGCTCCAAATAGGCTATTTTCACCACTACATACATACAAAGATCTAGCTATAACAAGTATCTATTATTTCCCGTATGTGGTGGTGTGTGAAACAGCCCAAAATGTTTAACCCTAATCCTCAAATGACTGTATATTCTAGTATAAAAAATAAAACTTTGAGATTAGACAGATAACACACAAGAACAGAATTTAAATTTTTATCGTGTTCTCTTCACTGTTTTTCCATACTTCTTATGAACAGAATTAGCTACGTCTCAGAAAGACTACTGCATGGTTACCTTGGACCTCGGGAAAGCAGTCAGAGCTGAGAAAGGGCAGTATGAGGTAGAGCCACATGTAAAACCTTTTAAAACTGACACCACCCCTTCAGTCACACACGCTCATTCTTTTCCTGCGTCTTTCACAATATCTAACCTGTGACCATGACAGTGCGAATGTTGGCTTTATGCAAATCTTCAAGTACTGCAGGGGTTTCTTGCTTTAACTTGTTCTGCATTATAATTAATCCCATAAAATCCATGTTGTTTTCAATGGCATCTCTGCAGAAAAAGAAATTTTAACACAATGATTTAGTCAAGAGAACAGTGCTATTCTCCTGATGTGGACAATTTAAAGTATCTACATATTATGAAGCAGAACATTTTATATGCTGAATAAACTATGTGTGTATTTACAACCTGAACACCTCAAAAATTTTTAATTTCAAAAAACAATTTCCAAAAGATACTTCTGATATACTCTTTTTTTTTGTCTTTTTCCTTTTTATCGGTACCGGGGATCAAACTCACGACTCCCTGCTTGCAAGGCAGGCGCTTATGCCACTGAGCTAAATCCCCAGCCCCTACTTTGATATACTGGAATAAATCTTTTTTGTTTGTTTGTACTGGGAACCAAATTCATGACCTCGCACTTTCCAGGCAGGTGTTTACACCACTGAGCTAAATCCCCAGCCCCTTAGAATAAAATTTTATCCTTTGAAACATGAAATACCAGGATCATTTGAAAATGTTTATCTTGTAAAATACTAAATTTGGCCAGAGATTTAGCTCAGTGGCGTAAGCGCCTGTCTGGCAAGCGCAAGGTCGTGAGCTCCATCCCTAGTACCAAAAAAAAAAAAAAAAATACTAAATTCTACTGATCTTATAATTCAACCCCAAAATGTGTAAGTATTATGAAGGACTATATACTGTTCTTCAAAAAAAAAAAAAAAATACCCTAAGAGAAAGGGGAAAAATCTGAGCCACAAGCACAGCTAGTAAAATTATAGCAGACTCATTATTAAGTTCTCACCAACTTGATAAACAATTCTGTTAATTTTTTCAGTGCTTGCTAAATAGCCCAGGTTGGCCTTGAACTCGCTCTGATTCTCCAGCCTCAGCCTCCCAATTGCTGGAATTATAACCATGTGCCACTACACCCATTTATATAAACAATGCTTGATCCCAGATATACGACACAGGGACTAATACTACAGTAGTGTATACAGTTAGAACTACTCAGGCCCTGAGAAGTGTCTAAAATACTGATAATGCAGTTACCCAGGTGGTATTCTTCAAATAGTTGAGTCTACTACGCATTAGCACTGTGCTACTTACTAGAAGGTCAAAAATGAAAAGACAAGTCACTCTCCTTTCAAAGAACTTCTGCAGAGAAGTAGGGTGCAGCCAGAGACACTATATACGCAAAAATAACACATACTTTAACATGTAACGGAGATGAATTCTGATCCACACAGTCACGTTCTTATCAACTTTCCAACTACCAAAATTATACTATAGAAACTTGGAGTTTCTTTGCAATGGAGAAAAAGGAGTTGACATTAGCAACTAGAATTTCTTATTTACAAGAACCAAACGATTACACAAGAATCAGTAATAAAGATGCCTGAAATCTAAATATCTTTGAAATATGTAATTTGTAACAACGGGTAGGTAGGTAGATAGGAAAGATATTAAAGAATAATTAGGGAATTTAAAAATGATTGTTAATGCTGGTGTTAACAAGAAAAAAAAGTACTCAGAACACCGCGCTGTATGCCAAACTAGAGTCAAAAGCACTAGATATTGTCCTGTGAGATAGTAGATTCTAGGTTCAGCTGGTTTTCTGAATCTCTTACAAATAACACAGGTCATGGAAATCTTGCCCTTCAACTTAACAAAGAGAACAATATTTAAGATACAAAGATTTAAGCTCTACTACCAAAGCAGAACAGCAGCATAGAGGTCTCGGTGGATGACGGAGGAAAATGGAATTAGAAAAAGACTGGCAAGAACACGGTGTTTCTAGCAGAACAAAGGGCCTCGCCCAAGAGACAGGAGTCTACCAGGCTCAAGAACCACAGGCAAGCCAGCCCTCTTTAAGGGAAAATGCCAAAAGGCCAAGCTACGAAGAGAGAAGAGTGCACCATGCCCTTTGGAGGAACTGTGATACACTGTAGTCTGCAGCGCCCGCCCTACAAAAGCCACAGATCACAGGGAAACGTTCTGCATGTGGTTTTCTATAACACTCAAGTATAGACTGTGTCCCTGAAATAGTCAAAATTAGCAGAAAACTAACGGATAATCCTCTCTGCTTACAAAATGCACACTTCACAGGTTCACCTCCAAAGGACAGAATGAATCCGTTACAACAAAAGCAACAATCCTTGAGATTGAAATCTACACTAACGGAAGGAAATGTGATGCCAGCAATGCCACGTGAGCAGAGAGCAAGCAAAATGGGGTGGGAGGAAGACCGCTGAGTGGTGACCACAACCTGACCAAATTAGTGTTTAGGTCCAAGCACTGGGCTGAAGCAAGATAATGTGAGGACAATACACTTCTGTAGAACTGTTTACCATTCCTCCAACATGCATGACACGTAAGCAGTTGAGAAATATTTAACAAGTAAGTTGAAAGTAGTTCCAAAAAGTTGGAAGGGAATACAGAATTTTTCAATAAGCAAGCATAAGCAAAAACTCAATACAAAATGAAAAGAAACTGCATAATGGAGGGAAATGCACATAATTTTGGCTCAATCACCTAACATGATATTGCATTATATATATAGATATAGATACAGATATATAGATAGATATGAATAGATTTAATAACTATTTAATAAATAACTAAACCTCAGGCAAATTCTTGTGTATGACTTACACATTCACAAACAGTATGCTACTGGAGAAGCCATAGGAGCGGGACGACCCTACCTGCTGATGTTCTGTACTTTATGCCACGTTAGTTTTGACTCCAATTTTCTGTGTGCAAGAGCAATCACACGGAAACCCTGCTTAGTATAATCTTCTAGAACTCTCTCAAAATCAGCAGGAACTAAAAGGGAAAAAGGCCAGTTCACTGTTAGAACTCAACACCAGCAAACACAAGTATCAGCCTCCTCCCAGCCCAACTCCTCCTCACCTGTCTCAGGTCTACAGAGGCTGGCGATGACTTCAGGGGCCCCTTTCATGTAGGCGTCCATCTTCTTCTCTCCCAGCACCTTGGCGACCACGCTCATGCGTTGCAAAGCTGAAGCAAATGGGAACTGGCGGACAATTCCTATCTCATAAACAGCCTACACAATTTCCAAAGATGTACAAAGAATGTGTTATTCTTCAAGAATACAAATGAAGGTACTCAGGTTACAAGAAAACATTCTTCACTTACTGGAAGTTCAAACAGCTCCTATAAACAAAAGCAAGCACAATTCAGTTCATTAGTACACTCAAGTTGAAAATAACTTAAGCATCCACAAACATTACTTGAAAATAGCAAAGAACTTTATTATTTCATGGTTTTCCTTCTCTACTACGTCTCAAAAAATAAAGTAGCAGGACCTTATTTTCAAAATTCATCTAAAACACAAAGCTTTTCTTTTGAAAAGCTTCTTTTATTTATTATTTTTATGCAACTTTAGGAATATGCAATTTAATTAAAAGATCTGACCATCATATATTTAAGACATCAGGCACGAAAGCTGCTTAGTAAATAGGAAAGCACAAATCTGAACCTTTAACAAAATTCCCTGTCCCACACCAGCGGTACAGCTTCAGATAAACAGAGCTGACAGAGCCCTTTTTGCATAAGGTTAAAATAAAAGACATTTGACGCCTTCCAGCAGCACTTCCACAGGAGAGCTCCTGTAGCTGGCACCAACAGCCCTGACCAGCCTTTCCTAGCACGTACCATGTCTTCACTTCCTGCCGGAGTGGGCTCAGGAAGCAGCTGCTGGGGAGGACGAACCACAGTGGGCATGATCCGATTATGAAGCGCTGTTTCTTCCTCAGTTGCTTCCTCCAAAACCTGGAAGGAAACCATCAATACCCACTTCATAAAATCCAGTTACTGGTTCCAGTGACCGTGAGGTCCATTTTCAGTAGATTTGTTAAAAACTGCTGTTCAGTGCACACGTATGTACTGCTAGATGCCTAAGGTAAACACAGGTTGCTAGGTAATTACCTAAGCAATCTGTGGGAAAGGGGAGACAGTCAAGAAGTAGAATAAAAATGCAGAACATCTGTCCTTCTGCTCTTACAACTTACTGGGTGCACAGACTAATTTTGTGAAAAATAAAAGGTTCTTGGGGCTGGAGATTTAGCTCAGCGGCATAAGCGCCTGCCTTGCAAGCAGGCAGTCGTGAGTTCGATCCCCGGTACCGATAAAAATGAAAAAGACAAAAAAAAAAAAAAGAAAAGAAAAAGAAAAAGAAAAGGTTCTTGCAGCCCCAAGAACTCTGTCTATCGTTCAGGAACACCTCTCTGCCGACAGAGATTCTACCCCGGTACAACCACTAAGTTAAGAGTGGGTTGAGGCCGGGCGTGGTGGCTCATGCCTGTAATCCCAGCGCTCGGGAGGCTGAGGCAGGAGGATCCTTGCAAGTTCGAGACCAGCCTGGGCTACAAAGTGAGCTCAAGGCCAGCCTGAACTGCATAGTGAGATCCTGTCTCAAAAAAGACAAAAAAAAAAAAAAAAAAACAAAGAGTAGGTTGAGGGTCGGGCTTGGCGAAGCACACCTATAATCGCACCCGTGAAGGCTGAGGCAGGAGAACCCCAAGTTCAAGTTCCACATGGAAAACTCAGTAAGATCTTGTCTCAAAAAATAAATGCAAAACAAAATATCTAACTAAAAAGGACTGGAATTACAGCTCGACGTGAAGGCCATGAATTGAATTCCTAATACTGAACCAGACTAAACAGGCTGAAGTACAAGGCTGAGTTTACAACTTCATCCTGAACCCTTCTAATAAAGCTACTACTTACTACATTTTAGTCTCTTGGAATGTACTTTAATAACATTGGGAAGGGTGAAAAAAATTCCAAAAGGCAGGAGTATAAAGCTCAATGGTAAGAGTACATGGCTAGGGGCCAGGGATTTAGCTCAGCAGCATAAGCGTCTGCCTAGCAAGCATGAAGTCATGAGTGTGATCCCTGGTACCAAAAAAAAAAAAAAAGTACATGGCTAGTATGAGATCCTGGGTTCAATCCACAGCACAAAAGTTATTTAAAAAAAATTTTTTTTTCAAATAAAACTCCTATAATAAACACCCACAGATGAGGAATAATGAATTAATCTTACTATAACTGGAGAGTTCAACCAAAGAAAAAAAGAAGAAAACTGAGCCCAATTAGTCAATTTTGTAAATACTGTATGACACAGTTTAACATCTCTGAAGCTGATCACACCACTGATCACATCAAGCAGCCGTGGTGCCTGGCTCTTCGAACCCACTCTACTTAAAAAGACAGACCCAATGCATCACGCCAAAACACCTCATAGCAGTAGAATACAAACTGCCTTACATAACCAATTGTCTTTCTAAAGACCAGACACTGAACACTGTTACCTACAATGTTATCTATGAGAATCTGTTTCACTGAATAACATTTAGGAGCTTCAGAGAAATCAGCCCTATTTTGCTTCTCTTTCTATAAAAGTGGGGCATCCTTTCAGGAATCAAACTTCAGTACCATGAACTATGAACCTTCTGAAGATGGCAGAGTTTAGTTAGTCACCCACTGCTCTCTTTCTAAAAGCCTAACAACAACAACAAAAACAGAAAGCCAAGGAGGGACAGGGTAAGTTTCAAACACAGAAGCACAGGGCGCCCTGGACAGTGCTGACAGCCTGCCCAAGAAGCTATAAGTGGCCTGAACACACACAAGGAGAGTCCAGAAGAGGTGACATCTTATTGGCAGCACCACTGGCTGGGCTGGGCTGGGCTGAGCTGGGCTGAGCTGAGCTGAGCTGAGCTGGGCTGAGCTGGGCTGAGCTGGGCTGAGCTGAGCACAGCAGGAGCTCAGGGAGCTCCTCTAGAAAGGACAACCCAGGAGGAGCAAGGGCTGCCCGAGCAAGAGCTCCTGGTGAGCAAGCCCCTGGAGAACTGCACCACTACCACTCACAACTACCCAGTCACATTTTGTACTCGAGTGAAAAAGTCCTGTCCACATATGCAATGAAAACCAATAGCATAAAGGAGACCAAGAATCAAACAACTGTGTTGCCAGAAAAACTAAAAACAATTATCACATCTATATAAGAAACTAGCCACATATTACCACACCTGCCTCCGCTGTCAGAATTTCAGAGGGTAAGACAGGAGGCTAACAAATTTGAGGCCAGCCTGGACTATACAACGCAACCAAGTCCCAAAAAAAACAAGAGAGCTGGGAATATAGCTCAGTGGCATGAATGCTTGCCTGGCAAGTGCGAGGTCATGAATTCAATCCTCAGTATCAAAAAAAAAAAAAAAAAAAAAAGAAAGAAAGAAAAAACACAACACATGACAACAAAGGAAGGAAAAATGAAGGCCATAGGACAATAACAACCAAAGAACTAAGCACTTACAAATTAAAATTACTAGTAGCAGAAAGAGTGCAAATCAACACGCACACACACCCATATGGAAACAAAAGATAGGACTGAGGAACACTGAGGATGCAATGCTGCTGGATACTTTTATTCTGTGCCAACAGATTCAGTTTGTAGGAAGCACAGTGACACTCACTTCTAGTCTACCACACATTCCTGCACCCCTTCCAGGTCGCATCTGTACAAACTGCATAATCCGTTCTTTCAAAGTCACAGGGCTGACGGTTGGCCTTTCTGTGAGGTCATTTAATTTTCACTGTACTTTCCTGAAGACCACTTGCCCGTGAGATGCTGAGCTTACCCATCCAATGGCTTCAAACATCTTCAAGTCCAGGGGATCGCCAGAAAGCACTCCTTCAATCTTTGTGAGGGAATGACAAGTAGCCATGCATGCGACAAACTGAGATCTCACCAACGTCTCATTGCAAACATTTTCTTCCGGCAACAGAAATCTGAACAGAAACACACTCAGTTAGGTTCATAAATCCCCAAGAGGCCTTTTTTAGACTTTGTAGCTTAAAAGAATAAATGTAAATTCAAAATCAAGCTAAGGGAAATTTCCATGTAGGAAACAAAATAGATGGAAACAAACCCAGAGGTGGTGTGAGCTGAGCCGACACTGTAGCCACGGGGGAGGAGGAAGAGTGGAGACCACCAGAGCACCCCATAGACTGGGGTGCTACCTCACACAGAACAGGAAACAAAGTTCTGGGCACCTGTGAAATGGGGGCTCACGCTGACAGAACCCCTCTCATCCAAGGATGCCAGTGCTCCTAAAGAACTATGCACCATGGGGAAAGAGCCCACAAGTTTACCCAACCAACTCCAAAGCCCCACCAAGATTAGGCTTGTCACTTCCACCACCCGAAGTTCAAGAAAACAGTTAACATGGCACTGTAATACAATCTCAGCACTTTGGGAGGCTGAGGCAGGAGGCTCAAGCCCAGTCTGGGTAACCTGGTGAGACTGTGCCTTAAAGAAGTGGCTGGAGCCAGCCTGAACTGCATAGCAAGACCCTGTCTCCAAAAGATTAAAAAAAAAAAAATGGCTAGAGACATAGCTCTGTACCAAGGCCCTGGGCTCAATTCCGTCCCACACAGCCAGTGGGGCACTAGGATCTCTGCAGCATGTCCCAAGCACCAGGCACTGTTCTAAGACCTTCACATGCAATACTTGTCCCTGTCTCACACCACAGCAAGGATCACCCCCACCACGGACACGGGCATCAAACAGAGCAGCGCAGTCCTTTGTCCAGGGCTGCAATGCCTGTCAGTAGCTGAGCAAAGGCCTAGAACAAAGCCCTCCTCTGACCCACTACCCTCTACAGTGGGGGTGGGAATGCACAGTGCTGCCTGGCCCTAAGATCCCCAAACTATGGGAACAACAGGGACGCTGGTCTGGTCCAACCTACCACAGGGCCCTTGGGCAAGCAAAAAGAAATCTGTTCTGCCAGGGGACCCACCACGCAGCCATGAAAGGGCCAGCTCAGGATCAGCCTACTGTTTAAGGCACGCCAGGAAAATCTGGCCAGAGTCAGAGACACAACAAAGAATCCCAATGCCATAAATCTGAGACCGTAAAATGGCAGTCAAAAAAATGCCAGAAAGTGTTTTTAAGTAAGAAAAAGCTGTGGGCAGACTGACAATGAACCAAGTGAAGCCGTTTATCCATCATAGAGTGAGGATGCTGAGATGGAAAAGAAGACAAAGAATGGAGAAAAGCTGTAAAGGAAAAAGCAGAGGCTGAAAGCTCTCCACAATTTATGAAAAACATGAACTGCTGGAATTTAGAAGCAAAATGTATAAAATAATACAAGAGCATGGCGAAACTGCAGAAATCAATTATAAAGGAACAAGAGAGACAGCAAATTCCTAGAGACCAAGGACTTTGCTAGCAGTAACCAAAGATGTCAGGAGAAATGGGCGGACCCCTCCCAAGTGCAGAGGAAACACAACTAATCAACCTAGAACTGTAGCTACTCTATCCCTAAAGAGTCACAACACAAGTAGGCACAGTGGTGCCCAGCTATATAGTCCCAGCATTCTGGGAGGCAGAGGCAGAAGGGTCCCAAGCTCAAGCCCATACTTGGCAACTTAGTGACTTAGAAAGACCTTGTCTCAAAATAAAATAAAAGTATTAAAGTTAAAACGACATGGGGTAACACTCAGTGCAAACGAACTCCCTGGGTTCAATGCCTCATACCACCAAAAAAAAAAAAAGCAAAGTAAAATAAACCTAATGAATGCAATGGTTACAGAAGATAATTCAATCCACAGGAATGGAACACAAGAAACTATGATTAAGGTGTTTATAAACCTAATAAATCCAAGCACAAAGAATGTATAAAACAGGGGGCTGGGGATTTAGCTCAGCAGCATAAGCGCCTGCCTTGCAAGCAGGCAGTTGTGAGTTTGATCCCCGGTACCGATAAAAAAGACCAAAAAAAAAAGAATGTATAAAACAAAAATCATAATCATAAAACACTATACAACAAATATGCACAATGGAGGGAAATAATCAGGGTAAAATTTACCTAGTCTGGGGATTCAGGAGGCAGTATAGACATCTAAAACTTAAGCCCCTAACTATGAATATTAATTTAAAAACAGGGAGTAAAAAATTAGGGTGCATAATTTCTAAGAAAATGAGAGAAAGAATTCAAATTAAACAGAATTTAGGGCAAGGTGTTGCTGGAATAAGTAAGATCACAACATGAGTAGAAGATAAAACTCCTGAAATTACACAACCAAAAAACAGCCTCTCAACTACCTAAACGAAAATCTGGCAGCTTTTTGAGGGGAAAAAAATAACATAAACACAACAAAAGAAGTAAAATTTCTGGCATCAAAGACAAAAACAAAGTAAGAAGATGAGCCTGAAACTGGCAGCATAAATCTCCAATACACAGTATCAAGAGGTTACAACCCAGCGAACACACGGGACTTCTAGCCAATGAAGATGGCAGATAAAGAGGAACCACGTAAAAGAAAAAAGATACAAACAGCACGGAGAATGCTAAGTGATGCTACTTCAAAAATGTGAAAAGATGCTCAACTTTGTAAGTAATGCAGAGAATACAAATAAAAGATGCACACAGGCATTTCCTACTCATCCAAAAATGCTTGGCAATATTTTAGCTTGTCAAGGACACAGGACAAGAGGCACTCTGCTCAGTCACCAAGCACTAGGCAAGGCTAGAGGCAAAGCACAAGCTGGGCGCCAGTGGGCTTAGTGTGCACTCAGGCCGGCATGCGCACACCCAGCCTCACACTCACGGCTGGCACTATTTGTGAACACATAGGGAAAAAAGAGAAAACATGAAACTGTTCCTTGTAGAAAAGACACTATGGTTTCATTACATAATGAAATATAGAGCACTTAAAATTACTAAGTTAAGATCCTTGAAAGCAATTTAATTTTTTTTGGTACCGGGGATCGAACTCACGACCTCATGCTTGCCAGGCAGACACTAAGTCCCCAGCCCTTTTGAAAGCAATTTAAAAGAGGGAATAATAGCAAAACATGTAACATTATCACCTATGCACATTTATAGATTGAACATGTTTTGAAAATAAAAATACTTATGCAAAAATAAAAATAATTTCAAAATTATAGAAACAAAAAAAGGGACTTTGAGTATTTCAATCCTTTAAAAGAAACCTGAAGTACATACGGCAAAACATCAACTGCTTAGTCTCAGTGGCAGTACATAGCTGCCTGTTAAGAGCATTTGTTATGTGTGAATATTGCACGTGCTAAAATATTAAAATCAACTCATCAAGCATTGAATCTAGCCAATATTTACCGCGTATGGTCCACTCGTTGAATCCCCCACAGATCTAAACCATCTTCAGTAAGAGTTCCAGTCTAAAATAAAAAAGTACGCAAGCACCGAGTAAGCACAGTGTGTCAAAGAAGAAAACTCCAAGCGCACCTATTAGTGAAAACTGCTACATACACACAGTGGAGTACTGCAATCTGAAAAAAAAAGGCAAGGCACGATCTCCACGGAGGGAGGAGGACTTCCAGGAGCATACACAAAGCATGACGGAAAAGCACAATGGAAGCATGGCAGTTCAAATTTTAAAAATTACAGCAAAAGACACTGCCAAGAAAGCTTATTATACTCTTATCTTTTCTCAATGCTTGTGTCTACTTAAATGTTTCAATATAAGAAAATTCTAGGGAGCCAGGTGCTGTGTTGCCTATCTGTAATCCCAGCACTCAAGGAGGCTGAAGCAGGAGAATCTCAAGTTCCAGTACACCCTGGACAACACAGCAAGACCCCGCCCCAAAACAAAATGTACAAAAAGCTGCAGTACTTCAGTTCAATCTCCCATGACTGCAAAATAAGGGGGAAAAAAAGAGAGAGATTTTAGAGGCTGTGGTTCAGTGGCAGAACATGTGACTACCATATATGCAAGGCTCTGGATCAATACCCAGCACTCAAAAAAGAAAAACAACTGCCTGGCAAGCACTAGGTCATGAGTTCGATCCCTAGTACAAAAAAAAACAAGCTCCCAAAAAATATATGCATAAACGTATTTTCTAAGTACATGAAACAGTGATGCATGTATTTTGTTTTTTCAGACTTTGTACTTCTCATATTTTCTTTAATAATCAAATTCTTCCAAGAGTCTACCTTTACTATTTCAAAACATATACATTCAAATATGTAAGTATCTTCAATAAAAGAGTTGACTAAGATTTCTCAAAATCAAACATTCAAAAAACCTAATTTTACCCCAGTAATGTTAAGAGGCAAAAAATGTGTATTTCACATAGGTATACAATTCTTTTCATATAAAATCACTGATATTTATATTTGTAAAACATACTGTTTTAGTCTAAATCATGCAAAAACACTAAAAGCACATATTTTTGAGCAAAAACAAAAAATCACATTAAATACACATACATGGAGCCAATTCTGTTAAACTTGCATTATCTAAAAGTAATGATAAAAATTTTTACCATTACAACATATATTTCTATATAAAAGCAATTAGTCAACTACAGACAAAAGCCAAGTAACCAATATCGAAAAACTTAAAAAACTGAGAAAGCAAGGAATATTTTTTAAGTGATGGATAAACTAAATAAGCTGAGGAAGAAGAAAATTAAAGGGACATTAAAGAACAACGGCAAGGGCCGGGAATATAGCTCAGCGGTACAGAACCTGCCTGGCAAGCACAAGGTCGAGTTCAACTCTCATTACCAAAAAAATAAAAACACCAGGGGCTGGGGATTTAGCCCAGCGGCATAAGCGCCTGCCTTGCAAGCAAGCAGTCGTGAGTTCGATCCCTGGTACCGATAAAAATGAAAAAGACAAAAAAAATAAATACATAAAAACACCAAAGGCAAGTCAGTTATGAAAGAAAATGAAAACCAAAATTTGAAAGCTATACACAGCAGTAACCACTGAAAAAGATTATGAAACCACACCAACCTTGTCAAAACAAACCAGATTCAGCTGTCCACATATATTTATCCTTTGGGGACTGATACAGAAAATACCAACTGTTTTCAGTCTTCGCTGGGCATACACAATACCAGCAGTCATTGCGGCAGGAAGTGCAGGGGGCACAGTAATTGTAATGATGTCAAGAGACTCAACAATTATCGTCCCAACTTCCACCTGCAATTGGCACAAGAAATAAACGTAAAACCCCATTATTATCTACTAATTTAAAGCCAGGTGTGGTAGCGCATGCCTATAATCCTAGCACTTAAAAGGCCAAGATAGGAGGATCATTATGAGTTCAAGGCCGGACTGGGCTACACAGTGAGTTCAAACCTAGCCTCAACTACACAAGACCCTCTCTCATAAAGCCAAAAATAAAGGAACATTTACTAGTTTAGTGTGGGTATTTCTTTAGTGAAAAATTATAAATAGTTTAAATCTCATATATCACCATACACACATATATACACATCTATTAATGGTTTATAATTTTTTCTCCTTCAGAGAGTCTACAAAATAGCTAAGTGAATTATTAAGCGGATCATAGAAAGACAAGAGGACACTTCTGCCAAGAAGGCAACACCTCCCATTCTTCACACATGTCATGCTTTACACCAAGATACTGACTCATCCTATAAATACCATACTGTACTGTCTCCACAGGGAACGGAAGAGAAATTGGCTAGGAAGAGTGGTACATGCTTGTAATCTCAGCTACTCAGGAAGCTGAGGCAGAAAGATCTCAAGTTCAAGGGCAGCATAGACAACTTTACAGACTGTCTCAACTAAAATGAAAAAGTTCAGTGGTAGAGCACTTACTTAGTATGCATGAGACCCTGGGCTCGATCCCCAGTATCGCAAAAAGAAGGAGGAAGGGAAAGAGAAAGGGACCTGACAATATACCTTTTAGTGGCCCTTTGTTCAAAAATAATTGTTGCTGTATATTTTATCCCAAAGAAAAGAAATTTTTGGTGTGCGTGCATTTTTTTTTTTAAGTCTCAAAAAGGTAAATGTAGAAGACCTACATGCATCCAAAACACCATATGCACTAAGAAGCAAGCCTCCCTGCGAGCTAGTGCCACGCATGAACCACCGCCACCATGGGGGGGGGGGGGGCTGGGGGCAGACCCTGACTTTTTCTGGTGAGTCAGTGCCATTCGCAGACTGCAGGGGAAGAGAATAAGAAATCACCAAGAAGCAAGCCCTCCTTGCAAACTAGCACCATGAGTGGACCACCACCATAGGGGTACAGCCAGACCCAGCCCTTTCTAGCATGTGGGCTGAGAAGCAAGAGCCAACCCCCCGCCCACACACACACACACACCCCCCTCTGTAAAAGCAGCTCATCTGGAGAAACACAGGCTACAATGACGGGGATTGATGTGAAATGCAAAGTTCGTCGTGTTTAGTGTTTCACTAGCTTTGCAGGTCTAGGGCCAGTGGTCTGATCATCTATTTAGAAGGTAATCGCAGGGGCTGGGGGTTTAGCTCAGCAGCATAAGCACCTGCCTTGCAAGCAGGCAGTCGGGAGTTTGATCCCCAGTTCCGATAAAAACGAAAAAGACCAAAAGGAAAAAAAAAAAAAAAAAAAGAAGATAGAAGGTAATGGCACACAATGTGGCACCTATGGGGATCTCCTCTGAGGATGGTGGCCATTGTTGATTCCCTATCACCTTGTTTTGAAGTCCTGTATCATTTTCATAGTTTTACTGAGTTGGGTTTTATTGCTTTGTTTTGTTTGATTTTACTATAGTCAACGGCACGGGCAGCTATTTCAAAGATAACAAGATATATTATGGGAGCCATTTTGGATTTACTATTATCTTGTTTTGAAATCCTCTCCTGTGTTGTTTTGTTTTTATTGGTTTGCTCTGTTTTGTTACATTTTTTACTATGTCTGAAAGTATGCACAGCTCTATTGAAGACAACAAGAGGCATTAGGATACCAACTGTTGATTTCATATTGTTTTGAAGTCCTGTGACACACTGTTTTGAATGGCTTTGTTCTATTTTGCTTGGCTTTACTGTCTTCAAAATAAAGTAAAAAATAAAATAAAAAATAAAAGCACCGTATGCAAAGATGGAAATGATCTGTATCTGTGTTTCATGACTCAACAGCTGCCAGTTTCACATGGCATTCTTGGAGCAATCAGAATTAGCCTAAAACCTGGTTTCTGTTTCACTCCTCACACTGCAAGGTCCTCAATAGCCACACATGAGAATTAAGGCTCAACCCATACTGACTTCTCCCGTACATGCCTCATTTATAGGGCTGGGGGTTTAGCTCAGTGGCAAAAACGCCTGACTTGCAAATGCACAGTTGTGAGTTCGATCCCCAGTACCAATAAAAAACCAAAACAAAATAAACTCCGGACGTACATACCTCATTTAAAATGTTATTGATAATTGTATAGATGAACCCAATGGCAGCCACACCCACAAGACACAGCAGAAACAAGTAGGCATCTCTGTAGAGTTTAAAATCAGTTGGTTTGGGATACAATATGGAACGGACAAGCTGTCCTTTGGAAGTACTAAATCCTTTTAAAAAATTAAAGAGAAAAATTACTTATATTTTTATAAGGAAACAAGAATTAGGTCTCAAAACATTGTTTTAAACATTGAGAAGATATCAAATCTATGCTTACAAAATGTGCGATTAACTAACTAACTTGAGACCATAATGCTAAGTGAACTAACTCAGACACAGAAGGCTAAATATGGCATTATTTCTCTTACATAGAAACCCAAAGCACAAATAATTTAAAAAGAAATTAAGGAAGCAGGGAGCCTGACCATGTGGTGACGGGCAGGGGACCAGGGTGGAGAAGACCCGAGGGGAGGAGGGACAGGAACAAGGACTGTGACGGGATGCGTGCGTGTGTGCCAACCTCCCCCAGGAACACACACAACCTCAACATTCTGTACCTGTCCGAACCACAACAGCCTTCACCAGCTCTCCAGTGTAGAAGCGAGTCTGGATCACAGTTGTCCCACAGAACAGAGTGTGCCGCTTGTGTGTTTCCGGACTGTAGAATTCCTCTCCTGTGCCTTTCACATCCATGGAAGGATTCGGCAAATTAGTCTTTGTCACTGGAACACTTTCTCCTATTAAAAAATAAAATAAAATAAAATTATTACCGGAAAATACAGAAATTAGTAAAACAAACAAACAAAAAAAAAGTCTGTGTTAAGGAACACCTAACTTAACTGTTACAGTGCTATTTATCCTCATTATTAAGAGTTCTTCACAGACAGTCAGGCATGGTGGTGCATGCCTAGAATCCCACAGTAAGACTCTGTCTGAAGAAATCCAAAAAAACAGGGAGTGCTCTACATGTACACAAGATAGATTAATCAGCTTTTTATCTACCTTTTGGTTCACTCAAAAATGCCAAATTTTGCCTCCACAATAATTACAGAAAGTGATTTGTAATTTCAAGATAACCCCCGTCAGCAGGCATCACGGTGCACACCTGTAATCCCAGCTACTCAGAAGCCTGGAGGAGGCAGCACACAAGTTCCAGTCATTTAAGACTCCAGCTCGAAATTGAGGGAAGAAAAAAGGAAATGGGAAGAAAGAGAACAGGAGAGGAGGGAGGGGAGAAAGGGGAGGGAGGTGGAAGGGAAAGGGAAAAAGACAAAGGTCTCAGGTATCGCCCTTGGATCCCTGGGTTCGATCAGCAAGCCTCTCCTTGCCTCCTAAAAAACTTGACAGTGAATTTGCAAAGGGAAGTCATTTGGAAGTCTACTTCTCTCCAGTTTAATACAAATATAAAATCCTTATTTACAGCCAGGAATGGTGGCGCACTGCTGTAATCCCAGCACTCACTCGGGGGGCTGAGGCAGGAGGATCAGTGCAAGTTGGAGACCAGCCTGGGCTATAAAGTGAAGTGAAGGAACTGCATAGCGAGACCTTGTCTCAAAGACCAAAAAAAAAAAAATCCTTATTTATTTCCACCACAAATAGGGAAACAAATATTTTGCGTTCTCTGTGACAAAGAACCTTCTCCTTCTTCCCTTACTATGGCACCATCTCCTCACACCAAGAGTAGCTGTGGCAGACAGGGACTGGCAACCAGAACCAAGCCCCCAGGACGGCGCATGGCTCTGATGGAGGGCAAAGCAATTCATCAGTGAAGACATGGAGGCCGACAGATTCTGACAGAATTAATTCTCCAACTACTTAACACCATCAACAGCAGGCACACCGCCTGTTCTTGTTTCCCTCACCTGTCAGCATGCTCTCATTCACAATGCAGGTGCCGCTGATAAGAACTGCATCACACGGCATGACGGTCCCATTCAGAGGAATGACCATGACATCTCCCGGCACAAGGTCAGTAGAAAAGATTTCTTCTATTTCTGAACAGAAATAAAGAAAATATGAGAAAAATATTCACCAGGTTGAGAACAAATCATTTATCCAAAGGACTCCTCATCTCTCTGTAATAGTAACAGAGTCAGGCTGGGGCCAGGGATTTAACTCAGTGGCTTAAGTACCTGCCTAGCAAACATGAGGTCATGAATTCGATCCCTGGTACCAAAAAAAAACAGAGTAGGGCTGGATGGAGAATTCTGACCAGCAGGGTAAGCTGGTGCCAGGGTTCCGGCCACATCCGGGTTTCTAACAAGCAATGCACAGTGCCACAGCCCTCCACACACACTGCTCAGGGCAGCTGCCAACTGAGTTATCATCCAGCTCAGAAAATAAACACTAGATCTGCTCAAACAGGTGAAGCAAAATCAGGTTTCTGTAATGCCAGGAAAACAGAAGGAAACTTAGAAAAACTTTACTGCATTTTTTTCAGCAGTACGTTTACAATATTATTTTCCTAACTGCCACTATCTATAGACCTAACATTTCACTGCTTTGTCAATACTCCTTACAGGTTCTTTTCAGATATTCTTTTCAGGGCTGGGGATTTAACTCAGTGGCATAAGTGCCCGCCTGGCAAGCGTGCTCAGTAATAGAGCACTGTCCTAGCCTGCTGCGGCACCATACAATCCATATATGTATTAAATAAATTAAACTCTATAATAGCTCTCTGGAAACTTAACTAAAACCTTAACCACCATCTCAGAGATAAAAAGTTTTCTTGGCCAGGCATGGCGTGGCACACCTGTAATCCCAACACTCGGGAGGCTAAGGCAGGAGCTTTGCTGTGTGTTGGAGGCCAGCGTGGGACACACAGTGAGACGCTGGCTCACAAAGACCAAAAATAAAGGCTTTTCTGTGGGGTCACCTTCCATTTAGGCATTCTCTCCCTTCCTCAGATTCTTCTTCCCCTCAAGTTTAACTAATGCTGCTCTCCAGTGCTACGTTAGTTTGTAAATACCATGTGTGAGGAAAAAAAACTATTGTTTCACCCTGCTGGTCTGAAGGACAAATACTTTCAATAAAGGAGCCTACTGAATATTGATGAAATCTCTTCTAACAAACAACATTTAATATATAGGTGTACTAATGTTAAATTAAAACCTTTATTTTAAAATACGTGGAATGACTTTTCCTAAAGCTTCGGCAGTGCTTCAAATACCCATGCTTTTCAGGAGACCAGAAAGCGAATCTGCAGGAGACTGAAAACTACACACAGAGGGGAAAGAGGAGGCAGGGAAGAGCACACACCCTGGCCACCCAGGAATCTGGCCATCCAGGCATCGAAGAGCAGAAAGAGGCAGCCTACAACCCTGAGACTGCAGCAGGGGTGCTGACGGCCCCAGCCAGAGGAGGAGGAGGAAGCAGCGGGAAGAGGACGGCATGCACAGGGAAGACTGGCTTCAGTGGAGAAATGACGTAGCTCCTGCCTCCAAGGCTCAGGCTGCTGAGGTGCCTCCCCTGGCATCTCTTGGATGCTCGCCCAACTTAAGTGTCAGAAACGTCACCCTTCCTGGAATCCTGCTTCTCTTCCACCACTCTCTTCGTAACTGGGCAGCACCAACATCCACCCTGGCCCAACCCTCTTCAGGATTCACGCTCATGATTGCCAGGCACTGCTCGTGCCCATGGCTCTCTTCTTTCCCTCGCCCCTCCTTCCTATACCTCCCTCCCCTCCCTCCCTCCCTCTCTCCATCTCATTCTCTTGGTCTCCATAACCCCCATCTCAGCCGAGCTCAGGCCTTCAGCATGGCCCCATGAAACTCATCGAAACACAGAAGCCATGCTTCTCTATGCAAGGCCAAGTTCTGATCATGCAGTCCCGCGCTTCACAAGCTTCAGGGACTTTCCACTGCTTCTTGGACTGAGAGTGAATTCCTTACCAAGCCTCATCCATTACCCATACAGTTGCACCATGTGCCATGCAGAATTTCTTTGTTTTTATAACAAAAGTGAGGAGGAGCTAAAGATGGTGGATAGAGAGGCAGCAGAATACAGAGGCTCCCTGAGACAGACAACTCAAAATACCAGAATAAAACATCGTGCGAAGGTCCAGACAGAGGGAGATGGATCCTATTCACCCAGTAAGAAACTAAAGGGAAAAGAACTGGTCAAACATGCAGTCCCAGGGCTACCATTGGAGCAGCTAAGATAAGCGACCATGTTGCTCTCGTCATAGTGCCCGACCTCGCACGGCCACGACTCGTCAGAGCCACCCAAATTCCTGTTGCTTTGACCAAGCTGATTGCTGTACTCCCACCGCTGTGACCCGCTGGAACTATGTTCATCCTGAAGTCCAAGGTGGTCAAGCCCAATGGAGAACAGAGCTGGCAAGGGACCTGCATAACCAGCGGGTTGAGTACTGGGAATAAGACCCTCCCAGGGGAAAGGGGCAGCCAACTGGACAACATGTTGGAATCGGGCAGGACAGGCAGGAACAAGGAACAGCAGTGACTTCAGTCAGTGGTTCCCTTCCCAGACCAGATTGGTGGGATATGTTTGGCCTGAGTCACGCCCCTGGCCAGGCCCCAATAAGTCACCCCAAACCAAGTGGTTATGCACAATGCACACTAACACAGTGAAGGCCCTCACAGGTTGACTGACCAGGTGGGGAGGGACAGCCCCTGTTTACACCTCAATGACCAATAGCAAACTGGGAAAGCAGAAATTTCTAGTCAGCATGCTTCAGAAGAACCATAACCAACAAGGAAAGGGGCTGAGACCTCCTCTATACACCTGTTTGGAAGAAACCAAAAACACGACAAGAGAAAGAAACAAGAAAAAGTCCCCAGTCCACAGCCCTGAGAACATTGATCCAAGAGAGGTAAATACAAAAGAGACTGAGGGCAGCAAACATGTAATATCAGACACGGCATCAGTGGACATAAAGAGATATCTTCAGGACCTCACAGACAAGCTCAAAAGCAAAATATTTAATCAAGTAAAGCAAGATCTAAGTAGATTAATCAGGAAATAAAAAACTCCATTGAAAGCTGGCCAACCTCTTGAAAGAAACTAAGGATAGACTATCAAAACTTGAAGACAGGTTTGCAATGTGTGATCATGAAAAGAAAAATTTCTTAAAAATAACAAGGAAATAGGCAGTAACAATACAAAGGCTAGAAAACGACAAGAGGGTCTATAACTTAAGAATAAAGAATGTGAATGAAGAAGCAGAAGTAAAAACAAAGGAACTACAAAGGCTATTCACAGAAATAATTAAGGAAAACTTCCCAAGCATAGGAAATGATTCAACTGTATGAGGCATACAGAACTCCAGCCACCTACAACCAAAACAGAGCTACACCCAGACATATAATAATAAAGATTCCAGAAAATTAATATAAGAACAGAATATTAAAAGCTGTCAGAGAAAAGAAACAGATCACCTATAAAGGAAAATCTATCAAAATTACAGCAGACTTCTCAACACAGACCATCAAATCAAGAAGAGCTTGGAGCAGAAGTATTCCATGCCCTGAAAGAAAATAACCACCAGTCCAGATTGATGTACCCTGCAAAACTGTCTCTAGAAGTTAATGGAGAAACAAGATGCTTCCAAGAAAAAGAGGAACTGGGGGAATTTGAGACCACCAATCCAACCCTACAGAAATACTGAAAGACATTCTAGAGAGAAAAAAAGTACCAGGATTTCAGGAACAGTGGCAGAGAGGCCTCAATGAATGGAGCAGAAAGTGGAATGAAAGAGAAATGCAGACAACTAATGAATAAAAACAGCATAACAGAAATGAGGCAGAGGAGGAGGTAGGGTCCCCCGAGATGCTCTATATAGGAAATATAATTTACCTGAAAAGGGGTTTACAGACCGAAAATCAAATATGAGCAAGCAACGCTCTATGTGACAGGGAACCAGAGAGTAATAGGTGCAACTCGACCAGCACCTGCAGATAGGTTTGAAAGACAGATAGGTTGGAAAGGAATACAACTTGAGATCAAGTCCAGAAGTGAGAAGGTTCAGAACCAATTAGGTAAGTAGCAGGTGCCCCCCGCCCAATCTAAAAACTGAGGGAGTTGGACCAAAAAATGCACAGTGCACCTTGTAGGAGCAAAAGGGAGGAATAGTCTAAAAAAAGAAGGTAGAGGATACTGGTAATAGTGTATCAGGATTTAAAACCCACATTACTCACACCACTCTGTTTAGATAGATTATATTCTGTCCCAGTTTGTCTGTTTGTACTAGATCTGAGGGCACAGACAGCTATCCCCAAAATAGCAAGATATAGTACGGTAATCATCCTTAATTTCCTATTAACTTAATCTAAGGCCCTGTATAACTTACACTGTTTTACTATGATTGATTTTAGTTGAACCTGGTTTGTTAGATTGCTGTTTGGTATTGACAGATTTTATTTAAAAATGTTATGATTAAGCTGAGGTGGAAGGATCGTTGCAAGTTCAAGACCAGCCTGGACTACCAAGTGAGCTCAAAGCCAGCCTGAACTGCATAGCGAGACCCTGTCTCAAAAAAACACCAAAAAAAAACCTGTTATGATTGATAGTATCAAGTCTGAGAGTACAGGCAACTACACTGAAGATGACAAGATTCACTATGATACTCATTCTGATTTATTACCTGTTTTTGAAGTTTTACACTACCTACAATGTTTTGTTTTTATTAATATTGTTATGTACAGCTATATTCAATTATACTATGCCTGGTGATACAGACAATTCTATTGAAGAAAACAAGAGACAACACAATAACCATTGTAGAACACCTTGTACTTGGTTTTATATGACTTTTTTGTTTCATGTGTTTATCGGAATGTTTTGTTTTGCCATGCTTTTTGTTTCTCCCTCTAACATAGAAAGGATAGAAATAAATACACGTAGAGACTCATGCATGCGTAGAACCTATAAACAGTTTATGAAAACTGATCTTATAATACATGATAAAGTGAACAACTATTTTGAAGAAAAAGAGACACTACAGTACCCAGTGCTGATCCCGTAGTGTCATGATGTGAAATCCAGCAATACTATTATTCTTTGTTCAGAGTGATTTAGCCTGCTTTGGTTTGTTTAATCTTAACATACATGAAGGTATGGGTAACTGCATGCATGTTTAAGTGTGTAGGATGGATAATCATGTTACTAAGTTTTTGTTAGATATGAACAGAACTGTTTGCAGTCTCGCTGTTTGAATGTCTACTTTGTATGTGTCACTTTTGTAACTTGAACAACTATTTGTGAGAGGACAGTATGTAATTATCAACTAGTGATTTCTTACTGTTTATTTTTTCTTTGAAATTATGTATTATTTCTATTCTTTTTCTGTTTTGTTCATTCTTTAAATTAAAAAAAAAGTGCCACCTCTAATTTCAGGTCTCTGGACACTTAGAACTCTCGTCTTGTACTCTAGCTGTACCAACTGTTCATCTACCTCTCATGTGACTACTTCAATAGTAGCCATGTAAAATCAAATCATTAAAACAGCCATCCCTAGCCTCATTTGAGGCCTGCAGTCAATTTTCTTTGACTGTGTGCTTTCAATTCTGCCTAAATCTCTTTGTGCCTCTTTTTTAAAAAAATCCATCCCTGATAACACAGTAGACAAGCTTTCCTCTATAATGTAAGTTGTCTCAGCTCTCCCTAACATCACATTTACTGCACTTTATTGGTACTGTTTATTGTCTCTCCTAGCAAGATCATTAAAAAAAAAAAAAAAAAAAAGGTGGGTATGGCAGTGCAAACCTATAATCACAGGCTCTGTGATTATAGCCTGACGGGAAGATCCCAAGTTCAAGCCCAGATGAAATGATGAAGTGAGACCCTTTCTCAAAATAAAAACTGGCTAGAGATAGAGCTTGATGCAAATGCCCTTGTTTCACTCTCCAGTAATGCACAAGTTAAATAAAAAGACAGACAGACAGACAAGAAAGAGAGAGAAAGTAATTTTATATAAATGAATGATTCTGATAAAATTTGGGAATCCAAACTTGCACTTTCAGTTCTTACATTAGTAGTACAAGAACATGCAAGCATTTGTGTGTGTCTATGTATACATAAATAAACAAACACACTGGGCTTACTTCACACCACAGCACTCAATGGCTTGGGGCTCTGGATTCACTCTTTGGACACTCACCCAGGTACTTACCTTCATTGACTCTGCACACTGAAACTCTGACGGTACTATGAGTTGCCACCATGTCATGCAACATAACATATTGCTAAAAAAAGGAAGGAAAAACAAAAACGAGCCTCATGAACCACTCCTCAAAACCCTGAGATACAGGGTGCTAGAAAATAAAGCACACTAATTTAACAGGTGCCTACCGCTCTGTCTTTATACAGTATCAAGTCAAAAGAATCAACTCAGAACAGAACGAGAAGCAGCTTGAGAAGGCCTGGAAACTGGAGGCAGCCTCTCAGTGCTACAGCTTGAGACTAGCAAGTCCAGGTCCTTCAGCTTCAAAGTGGGCAGCTAGTGAGTGAGCTGCCCCTAAAAGGGGCATAGTCTGGCCCAACTATAACAGCAGCGTCTATACTCAGGCAGGTAAACAGCAGTGGTCCTGAATGCTTCCTCTATGCCAATCACCGCTCCACACACCTCACTCACTGTTACAGAATGTGAACACTGTGTGAAGCCAGCAATAAATCTACTTACTTTTCTTATGGAATACAGTGAGGCCACAATGGATACCAGGGACATAATCACAATGGCTAAAGCATAGTAGTAGTATTCATCAGTGCTCCACAATATAACACTGAACAGCTGGAAAATGTAAAATGGGTTCAGAACCTAAAAAATATAAGATTTAAGTCAAACTGAGATAATTATAACCATATAGATTCTACATTTTCACTTGAAAAGTAACTACCAGTTATGCACAGAATAAGCTCCATAGTAACCTAGGACCACATGCACCGTAAAGAGCAGGACAGGGTGTTAGGAGTCTTATTTTCCAGTGAGCTACCAGAATTTGGCAAACTCAGATTTAAAATTTCTGTATCCATTTAGATTCATAACAAATCTAACACAGACTCAGCCAGAATAAGCTGACGTGTGTGAACTTAGCTGTCCTGCATCCTGCTTTAGGAATGAAGTGCATGTATTTGCAGTAATTACTATGCTCTAGGTCAATACAAGATACCCAACTTTTAACCAAATAGAACAAATGTTTACTTATGAACTCCAAACAGAAATGTTGACAGTTCTCTGGGTTGCAAAGGAAAGACAAATAAGAAATAATGGGGTGAACTGTTTTGCTTTCTCAATGGAAAGTAGTGATCCTGAGTGAAAGTAAGATAACGGAGCCCTGACAAAAAAACTTCATTCCCCCAAGTTCCATTGTGATTTATCGACTTTATTAATAAACTCTCAATGTCTTTTTTAAATAATGGGCTTATCTGGAGGAGGGAGAGGCAGGAAGTGAGATTAAGCCCAGGGCCTCAACACATTAACCACATCTCCATTGCCCTCCCCCCAAAGTCTTAAAATTGAAGCTTCCACACTTTTCCAAAGCATTTTGATGTAGTACCATTTTACCTCAAAACTAAATGAAATACTTAGGGGGGAAAAAAAGCCTTTTCTAATTATATAAGTAAAAGAGCAAGAGAAAGGTGCTTGGGCAGGGGAGGGGATACTGGTTATGAAACCCAGGGCCTTCACACTGACCTACACCCCCAGCCTTTTATTTTTTTTGAGACAAGGTCTCACTAAGTCAGTTAGTTGTCCAAGTTGGCCTTGAATTTGTGAGCCTCCACCCCTAGAATGCTGGAAATTACTAGCATATGACACCAAACCCAGCCAGAGGAAGGTTTTCCACAGCTCAAAACTGACTACTAGGATGGCAAAGTGTGTGAGAGTTTGGGGCTGAACACTTATGCACTGCATGTTCAAGGTCCTGGGTTCAATCCCCAGCTCTGGGGGTGGAGGGCGGGGACTACAGCGGTTACTGATGGGACCATATTACAAATCAGGCTTTCCCAGGCCTCATCATTACACCAGGCCATGTAATGTATGCATTATACACATGAAAGAAGCCTTATTTCTACTAAAAGTATTTATCCATTGCAGTTACACTTCACCCCAGAATGACAGCTGAAAAACAGCACAAAGACTGGCCAGCTTTTGTCATTAGGCAAAGTCACTTGCTCTCTTCCTTTCCCTGCCTACAATCCTTCGTTACCTCTCTGGCACTTAACAACTGAACTCTCGCTGTGCCATTTCCCCAAGTCACCCCATCAGGCTTCACACTTCCGCACGCTAATGCTCACTGTCCAGTAAGGCACCACAGAATACCATGGGAAGGAAACATGGTCCAAGGGGGCAATTAATAAAAACAAAATTAGACAAAATAAGATTCATACCCAAAATTCCCTTGCAGAGCAAATTTTTTCTCTACTTTTACTCTCCAAGAAAAACAGCAAGCAAAGGGAAATTAGAAAACAGAAAACTAAGACTATCTCATTAACCACGACTCTCCAAATTGACAAATCTATTAATCCCAAACGCTGAGCTCTATACAGCAGTCTTACCTCTTTAATTAGAAGTTTAAAAACTGAAGGCACTTTCACAGTAATTTCATTTATTCCATAAAGCAATTTTCTATAACAGGAAAATACAATAGTAGTATTTCAGTGTATAATGTACATACAGCATAATTTAGGAAAGGCATTGCATTAGATAAGTTCAAACCACAGGATGCTCTTAAATTCATGCGTTGTACTCTTAAAACTCTTCTCTGCCTACAGTATTTAAAAAGAAGAGGTCAACAATGGATAACTGGACTGCTTGCATTTTATTGGATACTGTCTCACACCTTTAGTGAGTGACAGGTACCTCTCCCATTATTAATAAAAACCATGCAAGCAAAAGGCTGTCTGCTCCATCCAAGCTGGTCAAGTATGAATGTCAACTTTGAGGAAGAAATAAAATGTGAGGAACTCCTCCCTGCTTTTCTAAGAACACTATACTGAGGATGTTTAGTTCAGAAGACTGCACATCTGACTTTTAGGAAAACTATGCTTTTAAACCGTGGCTTAGTAGAGCTCAGTGATGCCTGTCAGCCTGACACTGCTGGAGGCTGACTCAGGTGGAGCTCAAGTTCAAGCCCAGTCTGCTCACCAGAAAAAAATAAAACATATGCTGGGGAGTGGTCTCCCTGCAAACACCCTGGGTCCAATCCTCAGTATGCCAAGAAGAAAAAGAAAGGTCATTCCTCATCATTGTGCCTTCTATTGTACCACTGTGACAGAATAATACTACCTTTTACAGGATCTAAGTCTGAAGGGGATCCTTTTGTTGCACCTTTGAAAGAACATGCTATAGAAACCAACAAGAAAATTCTAATTTAATCCAAAACTGGCATCTATCTTTAAAATATCTAATACACTGGCATACTTTTATGCTTTACCAAAAGAAAAAAAAAAAAAAAAGAGAGAGAGAGAGAGAGAGAAATGACTGCCAATTTATAAATTTTCATTGTGGTAAATTCATGTCTACAGTCTTTTTTTTAAAAAATGGACTGGAGAGCGCCCACGGGTCTCAAACCACCAGACCAATCGGCCCGGGCGGTTGGGAAGCCAGACTCGAAGGAACCGCTGGGCTAAAGCCAGCCCTTCATGTCTACAGTCTTAATACATCTGAAAAAATGTAAGATGCTATCAGTTTACAAGACACAGCACTATTGTATGTATGATAAAAAAAATAAAAAACTGTCGAGCACAGTTAATGACACTCCACCAACTATACACCACATCTCAACTTCAGAGATATTAAATTATGAGATTGTGCACCTTTTGAAATGATGAAACTGTGGAATTTCAGAGATGCAAACTTCAATAATTAGCTTTAACATTTTCATGATTAAACTGGAGACAGTTTTATTTGAATAAAATACCAGTTTTCAACTCATCTGTAGCATTTAAAACCTGTTAACAGGTACTATATGGTAAAGGGATGACTACATATAGTCTGAATTTAGGAACTTAGAGAACAGAGCTAACTTTAGTTGGATAAAAGTTACCTGTAAGCATGCATCCCCTTTGTCAGTCCTGCACTATGCTTTTCATAAATTGACGTACAAGAAACACCTTCATCCAGTCCCCTAAATAAATCCAAAGTTTTTACTTTAAACAAAGTTTAAAATATCCAAATATCTTAATGCCTCATTTCTCTATATCCCTGACTTTAGAAATGAAACTTCTTAGAAACATTTAATGAAAATTTAGGAAGAATGAGAATTTTAAAATCTCAAATTCTTAAGATAAACATTATTAAATGGTCTAAGACTCAAACATGACAACTAAGTTACCCAATGCATGGTAAAATGGCTCCACATACTCAAGTTTAGGTAACATCATTATCTGTTAAGGCTACACCAGAGTTGTAAAGAGTCAATAATAATTAAACTAAACAATTTACAGCAACGTGCAATTAACCTGACAACTCGAAACTAAAACAATTTTACTTCTCATCTATATAGTTTCTCCTTTACAATTTTAGTTTCTCACTAAAAAGTCCTATTCAATGGTATCTGTCTCCACAAAACAGCAGTCCTAGTCCTTCCCTGAGCCTTAGCAGACCTGGTGAGCAAATAGAACTTTTTTGAGTCACACCAACCTCTAACCAGCCCAACTGGGACCCAACTAACATCTGCTTTTCTCCAAATGTCTTTAGCATGCTTATTTTAATAACACCAGTCACAGAACTGTAAAACAGAGAAGCTTATACATGCTTCATTTCAATACCTCTCTACTTTTTTTAGATAGGAAAGCTAGGCTACATGCTTCACCGCTATAAATTTCTGTGGCTTATGGAGACCACAGCAAATGTTTGATCTTTCCCCCACTCAAGCAGATGAATTGTTCAGGAGGGGCAAGGACCAGGATCACAGTTTTTAATAAAACGGCAGTCCACTGGCAATTTTTTTTAAAACAATGGCTCCCACTTAATCAGAAAGGTTCTTTAGAACTAAACACCTAAAAATGCTTAGATCCATTACAGAATATTCCCATTCTTCAGTGTATTTGAGGGAAAATAAAGACATTGCTATCTTTAACGATTCACAAACCTTTAATTGCTAGAAGAACTCCTGTGGCACTCTAAAGGTGATATTTAATGAGTGATTATAATCATTTCAGCAGCAGCAATAAAAATAGAATTCTCGGAAAGCTAAGACAGAAAGATCACATGAAGCCCAAGAGTTAAGGGTCAGCCTGGGTAACATAGCAAGACCCCATTTCTTTAAAAAAAGAAAAAGTTTAATCCTAATTTGGTAACACTGCTTGAACTCTGTGAAAAATTGTAACAGATTACTCCAATTTTCCTGTCCAAAGGCTTTCAACCTGCGGTAAGTGTCTCATTCATTATTCACATAGTAAATTAAGTTTGTCTATCACTCGATTGTTTCATACACCGGTACAACTGGATGTGACTGTCAACAAATTAGGAGGCAGTATACTTAAAGTTAAACCGTAAAGTCTGGAGTGCAGTGCAGTAGTAAAGTACCTGCTTAGCATAGTAGGGGCCCTTCAATTGATCCCCAACACCATACACACAAAACCTAAGTTAAACACAGGCTATGTTCTCATGTCAAGGTAAAAAAGAACTCAAAATCAGAAAAACTGTTGCATCACACAGCTTGTAACTTCAGGGAATTTTGCCAGGGTACAACTTATAGGGGGTATTTATTTTTAAACAGTCATATTAGTCTTCAAAGAACGGTGGAGAGTGTTTGATGAACAAATGAATACAAGTTGTACAATAAAAACCTCTTTCATTTTATATAACACTAGAATGCTTTTTGGTTTTTTTTAGAATAGATTTTTTTTCTACCTACAATGTTTTCAAGATACAATCCAAGAAAAAGAAAGATACTTACTTTAAGAAATCAAAATTGTGAATGGTATCATCCCAGAAATACTTTACACTATGGTGGGTGAAATAACGAATCTGTAGAACATAAAAAGATTACACAAAAGCACACAATTGTGGGTTAGCACACAATCTGCTTATTCTACTAACGACCAAATTTGTGTCTGGTAATATACATACAAATTTATTTCAAGCAATAACTGCAGCAAAATTATTAATTTATATCCTAGTACAAAATGTTAACAATTCTTGTTTTTTAAAGACACTTTAACACTTGATCCAATACCTGCTGTGAATGAGTCTGTAAATATTTAGTCGGCTCATGCCTGTTCTCTCCAGCTGGGTTCTCAGTTAAATGAACTCCATGGCCGTTGCAAATCTTATTAAGTATGGATTTGGGATTCGAAAATGAGTCATTCTCCAAAGTAAGCAAGCGAATTTTTGCACAAAACCACATTCTGAATTCATCCTTAAGACAGAAAGAAAAATGGTAGTCGGTTATGTATACTATATAACTGGCTACATTTTTACTTAATTTCTACTCCTTATACATTCATCTCTAATTGAGAAAGCAACATTTCCTACATATTAAGCGTTAAACAAGAACAAACTCAAGAAGTACTTCCCACTTCACAACGTATTTCACCTGTACAAACAACAATATATTCCATAAAAGATCAGGAAGCCGGGGCATAGTAGCACACGCCTGTAATCCCAGCACTGGAGGCTGAGGCAGGCAGACCATCAGAAATTCAAGGCCAGGCTGAGCTGTATAGAAAGTTCAAGGCCAGCCTGAACTACGACATTGTAAGACCCTACTTCAAAAAACAAAATTAAAAAAAAAAAAAATCATGAGTATTCATTCGCTCACAACAGGTATATCAAGCCTCTTATAAAACGCTTGCATTTAGGCTTCAAAACAAAATCTTAAAAGAATAAAGATGTGATGTGCACATATGCCAGTGAGCGTATTTATTATCTATTGCTAGCAAATACGACAGTGTTTTAGTCTGGGACTTATCAGTTCCAAGACCCAAGTGGACGTACAGTTGTCCTCAGCAGCACCACGTCACAGTCCCTGACCGCAGCTCTGACGCAGGTCGCTTTCACACGCCACTCTGGCATCCAGTAGAGGAGGAGGAGGAGAAACCCACCGGTGCAGATCACGCCCAGAGACACGACAGCAAGCTTCCAGCGACACAAGTTATAGCCATAAACCTCCTGCCCGGGCACAGTGACCACAGGGTTAGTTATTGCAGGACACTCAAGAGAATTAAGTGCAGAGGAGTTTCCAAGATGGCCATTACTGTCTTGTCACATAACTGTAAGTGTTTTTCTCAATCTGTAATTTACTTTTATATTTTGTTTCTGACAAGATTGTGGTCAAAATTATACTTTTAAGTACTTAAATTCATGATTTCATAATTGATATCTTTAATATTAAAAGTTCTTTGCTGACACAGTATGCTCATATTTACATTTTTCCCCATATGCTGGGGACCACAAATTCACAATGACTGGTTTTGCGTATTTCCCTGTGGGATAAACCCAAGGACTGGGATTGCTGGTACCACCCATCTGGGATTTCCCATTGACCCTTCCAAGCATGGCATCTCCTAGCCTTGAAGCATCACAGGATTATACTCCAGGTCAAGATACTTCTGCACCTAAGATTGTCTACATGCCTTTGAAGGGCGTCTTCTGATGAACTGTGATCTTTTGCTAGCCTACCTGTCACTGTGTACAGCTAATGAACAGTGGCTGCTTTGGGAGTGAGGTCCAATCCAGAGACACTGACTTTCAGCAACTGAAGAATTACTTGTCTCTGCTTTTTATTTTTCTTGCAGCATTCTAAAGACAATCAGGACTCTTGGCCAGATTCCCAATACTGACTATCAGGCCTCTTGGCCAGGTTCTTGATACCTAAAGACACAGTATTTTCATAGTTTATCAGCTTACAATAGTTCTAGCTTCATTCTTATACACTGTACCTTTTCAGAATTAACAGTTATGAAGCAGATTTTTGTTAAGTAACCTCTTTACTTTATTCAGATTTATAGAAAAAAATTAAGAGTTCCTGTATACCTTTTCTTCTATTTCTTTATCGTGAGCCTCTTGATACATTTGTTAAAATCAAAAAGTCGGGGCTGGAGATTTAGCTCAGCGGCATAAGCGCCTGTCTTGCAAGCAGGCAGTCATGAGTTTGATCCCCAGTACCGACAAAAAGGAAAAAGACCCCCCCCCAAAAAAAAAAATCAAAAGGTCAAGACTGCTGCATTGCTATCAGTTAAACTCAGTTCCAGGATTTCACCAGTTTTTTCACTAATATTGTACTTCTATTGTAAGGTGTAATCCATAATTTAACACTGCACTTAGATAGGATGGTATTAAATTTATTTTTGTGCAAGTAATTTACTAACTGGCCAATACCACTCTAACTGATCACTTCGCCCATAAGAGCCCATGAAATGCTTCCATCACCTCACCCAAACGCTGTAGGTGCACAAGTCAAATGCCCCGTTAAATTCAAATCTGCCCAATGCAACTTCTGGGAGACACTGATAAAAAAATATATTCCTTACTTATCTGAAATTGATGTTTAACGGGACAGCTTGTATTTTCCCTGACATATCTCCCATTCCCCAACAAAAGGTTGCCAAGCTATATTTTAAATTAAAGCTAATTTAAAACATTTCAATCCAAATTCAGAGCCCTTCATTTAGGATTATATTTAAGTATTAGCAAACATCTTAAACCAACAAATGCAAAACAATATTTCTTGTCTGAGTTTTATTGATCTGTTCTCAGTACCAGGGATGGATCTTACCCAGCTCTTTCTATGCTTTGATAGTTTGACTAAATTGCCCAGGCTGATCTTCAATCTGTAATCTTGCCTCAGTCTCCAGAGTAGCTGAGATTACAGGCATGGAGGACTACAACCTCTAATTCTAACAGTTGACAAGCAAAAAAGGAATTCTAGTGAAAAAAGAACTATATATTAAAACATTTATGTAACATATAAACAGAGGTATTACCTAATACCAATGCAAAAACACAGAATAATAAAGCCTGTAATACCAGCACTTGGGAAGCTGAGGCAGGAGGATCGTCATGAGTTCAAAGCCAGTCTAGACTACACAGTGAGTTAAAGATCAGCCTTAACTACATACCAAGGCTCTGTCTCAAAAAATACAAAAGCACCCACAAGATGAAGAAACTCTACTCCCCAAATAAACTGCAGTGACAATTCTTCATGCTCCCTAGCTAAACTCTGCAAGTTGGTTACCATTTCATCTTCTTGACTCTGGTTGATAATCTTCCTTTCCTCCTTGTCCATATCTACAGTGGTTTGGGAGGTCTTGCCTTTCACAACAGCTGAAGATAACTGAAAGAGAAACAGGTATCTGTGAATCATCTTAAGTCTTCGGTCACTCACCTATTACACACAGCGCCCTGAAGTGTTCTCAGTAAATTTGATTTCCTCCAAAGCAATGAACACCTGTTGATGGGACAGCTCTCACGGTTCATATATCAAAGTTCAACTGGTATTTTAAACAGTCATCCAAGTGCTAAGGGCAGTCTCAATGGCACGACAATTCTTGAACTTCTTTACTTCCAGGAAACTCAGAATATGACATCAATTTCTACCAGCAGCAGCCTTGAACAGTTAAAATTATAAGAGCTAGTATATAATCATCCTTTTTCATTCCCAGCTTAATTCAACCACCTTGAGCTACCATGCATCACACAACTCTTCTTGAACTACAGTAAAGAGTAATGCACCAGAAGAGAAACTGGCCCAAAATTCTCAGAGATTATTTATTTATTTATTTATTTATCATTCAACAAACACCCACTGAGCACTGTTCCACAAATGGTAATCTTTAGCCACGTCTTGGTGATTAGGCAGGTATGCTCCTGCTGGAGAGTGCCCCACTGACCCCAATGACCTCCAGGCCCACAAAGCACCTTTCCAACTCTGACTACACAGAAAGGACTTGTCAAAGGAGAAAACTCACTAAGCCCACTGACACAGTTTTTCCTTTATTCTGTGTGTCAACTACGAGGCACTTAACTACATAACAAATAGACCTACAAAATGTAAAATGACACTGTTTACTAATTGTTTTATTTTGAGATAGAGTATCACTACGTAGCCCAGGTTAACCTTGAACTTGTGGCAATCCTCCTGCCTCAGCCTCCTCAGTGCTGGGATTACAAGCATGCACCACCATGCCTGACTACTATTTATTTTTATACAATAGTTATTTCCAGAAAAATGTCCCTTCACATGTAGTAAGTTCAACAGTATGTTTGACTGACTTAATAATCTCTTGTTTTCAGAGAAAAAGGCGAAGCGCTCAGAACTTGCCCTGCAATGATACTGGAAAATTCAGCCTGCAAAGTGCGGGGCTGCTAGGGTAACAGTCTCCAAGGGATCAATCTCCTCTACCATCAGAGGTGGCTAAAAACAAATACTCTGGATGTTAGCAAGTTTCTCACAACAGCAAGAAACCCTCAGCCAATACACATTTCCACGTAGCCCACCAGCAATCCTTATCCTTAGCCAGCTTTGCACAAAATGCTACTATTTTTGTAGTCAATGATTGGTAGGTAAACCATGCTAATCACAGTCTACATTCAGTGTCCACTAGTTCAACCAACTATGAGCCAAAATATAAGGAAAAAAGTAATGAATATGTAGAGACATTTTTCATTATTATTCCTTTAATAACACAGTATAACAACTATCTCCACAGCATTTGTGTTGCACTGGGTGTTAGAGTGATCCAGAAGTCTTTGAAAGCATATGGGAAGAGGAGTACCGTGGGTTAAGTGCAAACAGGACACCATTTTAAACAAGGGACTAAATACCTTTTGATTGTGCTTACCTGACAAGCAGTCTTCCAGATACCAAGGGCCAACCATGCTTAAAACAGCAGCACTAACCAATAACATGGCATCAGTACAGCTAAAACCCGCGCGAGCAAATGCACATCCACAGTAGATCTAAAGAGCATTAAAGGTCTGAATCGGAAAAGTTTTAGAGTCACTGCGTTGGACAATGTATCTGAGTCCCCCCGCCCAAAGCCTCAGTGCACACGGGTGGGGAGTTTGGAGTGAATGGGTCATGGGTGTGTAATACTGGGTTAATCCACTGATTGGTTCAGCATAGTTCTTGATGTTGGTGATGGATTTACTGAAGAGGGAAGAACCTAAGTTTTGGGTGTGGGTGACACCAACCAGGTTTGCACCCTGGATGAAATGAAAAGGGTAAGGAGGGAGGCTCACTGTTTCCTGCCTGCCACACCCTGAACTGTTTCTCCCTTGCCATGCCATCCTTCCTTAGAATCTGGGAGCCAAAATAAACCTTTCCTCCTTTACCTTGTGGAAGTGGGGTATTTTGTGCCAGGACTGTAAAGTAAGACCTCCACAGAACAGCAGAGACTCCCTTTCTCACGTTAGATCCCATACTCCTACTCATCTACCCAGTATACAGCAGTATGACATGAGAGGCACTCAAAAAACCTGCTTAATACATGATCTAATGGTGGTGCATGCCTGTAATCCCAGCACTCGGGAGGCTGAGGCAGGAGGATTGTTTCATGTTCAAGACCAACCTGGTCTATAACGTCAGCTCAATGCCAGCCTGAACTGCATGACGAAGCCCTGTGTCACAATAAAGATTTTTAAAAAATGATCTGCCATACACACTAATGTGGTACTTTTATGGATAAATGCAGAGCTAAAAGCCAAATGCAGGATTTTAAACTAATCTGATACATAACTATTGAAATCCCTTGATGTTTTATCATTAACCACACAACCACTGAAAATAACGGACTCAGTGCCACTGTGGAACAGTAGTCTTAAAGAACTTGGTCCATCTTCTCCAAAACAAGCACATTACCACTGGCAATGCATTAACAATGTTTCTCAATCTAGGGCAGCATTTGGGCCTGAAAGTGTAGGTGTAACAACCCAGCCCTGCCAGTGCCTACCCAAAGGCTGAGGCAGCAGCCTTAAACCTCCAACACCTCCCCAGAAAGAACTCAGCAAGGCCAGTGCCCATGCCCTTTAGTTAGTGAGTCTTCCTTGGGCTCAAATGAACCCCAGGATCATGACTCAAGGTTCACTGGAGTTATCCAAATGTTATCTTCCCTTCCCATCACACTACGCATGTTTCCTAAGAAGAAAATTACTTCACAATTGTGTATGACGAGATTTCTGCTCCCAACCATCATGAAGTATCATGAATCAGATCTGCCTAATTCCTCAAACCACCCCCGAACAGGCAAAATTAATCACAGCTTCCAAAGAACACGATACTGAGCAATGAAGGAAAGCAGTAACAGAGCTACACAAAAGTTCCACAGTTTTTCCAGTTTTGCGCCTAAAAGGCATTTGCCTGCAAGGGATGGGGGCTTGGGGAAGCCCACTGCCCTGGATGCTCCCCCTGAACAAGACATTTTGTCTCCATTTTGGCTAACCCTTGCCCTACTTCTGCTATTGGTAAATGCAGAGCTGACTGGGTATTTGCTCACCCCTTCAACTGGCCTTACGCAATGCCAACGGGGCCAGCGAGGGCGCTGATTCCTTGCCCCACAGGCAATGCCGACAGGTCTGTGATGCCCCACCCACAGCTCCCTACACCTAGTGAGAGTTAGGCAAAAACACAGATACTTCCAAAGTGTGTTATGCAGGGTCCTCCAGACTCAGAGGCTGCCTGGTACCTCTCTCTCTCATACTGCAGAGGTGCTCTGAGCCTACTACCTAGTTCTGCTCACAGCATCCATTCTCAGTCACTCAATCCCTGCCTCGCTCTTCTTCACTGATTAATAAAACTCAGGTTCAGTCCCGGGTCATGGCCTTTGTTCTAGTTAGCCACTGTTCCAACTGGACTTAGGAACCCTAACTTCCCCTCAGCTGCAGATATCTCTGTGTCTCCTACTCCAGTCATGGGGGGTTGCACTGGAAATGGCAGACTGGAATGTACTAAACTAGAATTCCAATAACCTTTCCCACAAATTACAAACATAAACTCCTCCAGATGAGGACGAGGCCAGGATGGCTCTCTATAGGGTCAGGGACTCAGGGGAAGCCAGGGTTTTCCCAAAGTAGAGACGAAGCTGGAAGTGCAGGGAGGCATCAAAGCAACCTGTGTAAGATGAGGTCACCAGGAAATGTACACAAAGACTGACACCCACATCCGGGGGTGGGCTGAGTCTGCAGCTAAGTCCTGACTAGCACCAGGAAAAGACAGGACCACAGGCCAGGAAAACCACTGCCCCAAATGATTAGGAGGAAACACACACAACTCACACAGGGTGGGGCAGTGCCAGTCCCATCAACCGCAGCCCTGTCTGTGGCAAGCAATCAGAGACTATCCCTGGAGTCAGAAGAGGAATAAAACTAGCCCCAAACAAAAACTACTCTAGTCCTCCCAAATAAAGCTAAAAGCAAGACCTGAAGCTGGGATTTAGCTTAGGGGCATCCGCACCTGCCTGGCAAGCACAAGGTCATGACTCCAATCACTAGTACAAAAAAAAAAAAAAATTGAGACCTGAAACCAAATTTTTAAAAAGAAAAACCTGAAAATCATTTTCAACTCACAGAAAAAAGTTTGGGACATGTACTACAATGAAAAGTATCCAATAGCCAATAATTGACAGTGTCTAACATCTAATTAAAAGATGGAAAATACACAGATGAGATTAACAGCAGACCAGGTATCGCAGAATAAAACCGACGACCTTAAAGACACAATAATAAAAATTATCCAAAAAGAGAGTAAGCTAGGGATGTAGCTCAGGGGTAGAGCACTCCAGCTTCAATCCCCAGTACCGTACTCCAAACCAATGGTGCTAAAAACTTGAAAACAGGGCCGGGGTATAGCTCAGTGGCACAAGCGTCTGCTTGACAAGCACAAGGTTCTGAGACTGATTTCCAGTACCAAAAAAAAAAAAAAAAATTTTTTTTAAATACAAAATAAAAACTTGAAAGTAGCTGGGCATGGCAGCACACACCTGTAATCCCACACCCAGTAGGAGGAGGCTGGAGGCTGGCAGTGAATTCAAGTCCTGCATGAACTACAGAGTGAGTTCAAGGCCAGCCTGAACCACAAAGCAAGACCCTGTCTCAAAAAAACAACAAAACAAACAAACAAACAAAAAAACCTCTTGAAAATAAATTTTAAAGAAGTAGAGATGTGCTCGGTACTACAGCACTTGCCTGGACTACATGAGGACCTAGGTTTGATCTCCAGTATAGTAGTAAAGGAGAAGGGAAACAAAACAGTAGCAAGGAATGTCATCAAACTTTTCCTAAAAAGTCATTTTAAAAATCTTAAATTCAGCCAGAGATTTAGCTCAGCAAACTAAACGCCTGCCTGCCAAGCACAAAGTCATGAGTTCAATCCCTGGTACAAAAAAAAAAAACTTAGATTCAACTAGAAACAAAAACAAAAAAAAATCTTAAATTCAACTAGAAACAAAAACAAAAAAAAATCTTAAATTCAACTAGAAACAAAAACAAAACTAATAAAATAGGAAGGTAACAGTGGCAAAGTTCTTGCCAAAGGAATGCAGAAGAAAGGATGCAAGACCAACATTTTCCAAGAGTCAAGAGAAAGAAACTACTCGGTAAACTCCACACCCAGCAAAAATACCTCCTAACATTGAGGATGAGAATAAAGATTTTCTAAACTCAAAAACTGGAAGGGGTGGGGCTCACCAGTACCAGACCTACAGTACACTACAAAACAGAACTTAAAGGAAATCTTTCAGGAAGAAAAAACATTGTGGGCTCCACAAAGCAATGAAGAACCTCAGAAATGACAGCTATGCGGGTACACACCTGCAATTCTAGCGCTCAGGAAGTTGAGGCAGGAGGATCACCACAAATTTGAGGCCATCCTGGACTATATAGCAAGATCCTGTCTCAAAAATTAGGGAGAAACTAGTATTCTGTTGTAAAACCCTTACAGAACAACTGAAGGGGGTTCCTACTACTTGAAACTAGAATGCTAAGTTAAAAGATGCACATTTTACACTTTAAACTGGGCAATAAAATCAGACTCACAGCTACAAAACTAATACAGGAGAATTAAATGGAACCATAAAAAATTCTCAACCTGGTGTAGTGGCACAGGCCTGTAATTCCAACAATCAGGAAGCTGAGGCCAGAGGATCTCCTCAAATTCAAGGTAAGCCTGGGCCTGTCTTAAGAGGAAAAAAAAAAGAAAGAAAAACTCAACTGACTAAAACAAAGGAAAAAAAAGTGACGAGACAAAGAAGAAAAAAGTAACAAGATGACAGCTGAAACCTAATAGTATCAGCTGCCACCTTGGATATAAATGAAATAAGCACACACAGCAAGGAAGCTGGGTATGGTGATATATTCTCATGATATTAGCACCCTGGGGACAGAGAGAGGGGACATTTCAAGGCCAGCCCGAGTGACAGAGAGTGATCAATAATAAAACAAAACAGAAAACCTTCAAGAGCTGAGATTATGATTGTATTTCAAAACAGCATGCTACCTGCGAAAGTCCATTTTACTCAATGTAGGAATAATCCAGGACTTTTACACTGAGCTAGGTCCCCAGCATTTTTTCATTTTTGTTTGTTTAATTTTGAGACAGTGTTCCTAAACCCCTAAACTCGCCAGGCTGAGCTTGAATTTGAGATCCTCCTGCCTCGACCTCCCAGAGTGTTGGGATTTACAGGCATGGATTATAGAGGCTCTAGAAATTCACTTTAAATATTAATACACAAGGTCATAAAATTCAAAAATATATATATCATTCAAACACTTCAAAATAAAGCTGGAGAAAACATCATCTCACAATGACAAGGGGGCCAATTCATGAAGGTAAAATAACAACCCCCAATACGTATGCATTTAAGAACTTCGATATCTACATAAAGCAAATAACACACAACAAAAACATGAAAATAAAGAAGCAATGCTCAACTATCAGAAATTTCTGTTCACTAACCCTCTCAAAAGATAGACAAGAGGACTACAAAAACCTAAAACCTGAACAGAGAACACTCCAATACACCCAGAGGAGATGTTCTTTTAACACTGGCATGTAATACCACCACTCAGAAGGCTGAGGCAGGAAGATCACAGATTCCAAGGCAGCGGAGGCTACACAGTGACTTCAAAACCAGCCTGGGCTACACAGTGAGATGCTATCTCAAAAAAAAAGCAACCAAAATTACCCTATAAAACTGACTAAAGTCATAAAAACAAAGTATTTAACATGATGGAATTAAATTAATATTGTAACAGAAACAGGAGGAGAAAACTGATAAATATTTGGAAACAAAATATACTTCTAAAACCTATGAGTCCAAGGAATTAGAAAATACAAAGTATACAGTGAACTGAACAAGAACAGCCCCACCTGGACAGTGGCAAGTTACACCCACAGTAAACATGGCAAACAGAACTACTAAAGGGAAAGAGGATCTCAAGAAGAAATTGATGGAACAGAAAACAGAAAAAAGCCAATAAATCCAAAACTGAGTTGGGTGTGGTGGCCATGCTTCTAGCACTCAGGAGGATGAAGCAGGAGGATCATTATGAGTTTGAGACCACCTATGGTAGCTTTGGCTGCAAAGTGAGCTCAAGGCCAGCCTGAACTGCAAAGTGAGACCCTCTGTCTCAAAAAGACAAAAAAAAAAAAAAAAGAAAAGAAAGAAACAGCTGGTTCTTTGAGAGCCAATAACCTCTAGCTAGACACATGGCAAATTACTAACAGGAGTGGAGGGGAAACACAGCAGGCATCAGGAGGGTAACAAAGGGAACTTAATGAATACCACCACACATGAACTTTTCTGCAAATCTGAAGTTCCTCCCACATAAAAAGTTTTTAATTTGGGGGCTGGGGATTTAGCTCAGCGGCCTAAGCACCTGCCTTGCAAGCAGGCGGTCGTGAGTTCGATCCCTGGTACCGATAAAAAGGAAAAAGACAAAAAAAAAACCTGCTCAGAGGGCTAGGGATTTAGTGCAGCGGCATAAGGGCCTGCCTTGCAAGTGCGTGGTCATGAGTTCAATCCCCAGTACCAGTTAAAAAAAAAAAAAAAAAGAAATACTCCAGTTATCTCTAAGTGAGCTATCAAAGTCTACTGCCCACCACGTATTTTTGTGCTTTTCAAAGCACAAAAAGCTAAATTGCTGACCATACTATACTAATCTTTTTAAAAATATTCATTCTCAATTTAGTTGCTTTTTAATGTCTTACAAAATTTTAAAGTAAAACTGCTATAAACTTAAATAATTTAAATAAAAAGTTGCTCTAAAAACCACCAATTATTATTCACTTTAAACATACACATCTCATAGGGAATTATCTAGAATTTGCCCTTTATTAACTTACAGAAAACTCCAACAAGCCAGGCATGGTAGCGCACTTCTGTAATCCCAGTAGAAGAAGACTGAGGTTAGAAGATTTGAGTTCAAGACCAGCCTGGACTACAAAGTGAGCTCAAGGCCAGCCTGAATTGAATAGCAAGACCCTGTCTCAAAAAGACCAAAACAAAAAAAAACAAAAGAAAACCCTCCAACAAAATAAATAAAACAGTCTTACATTTAAAATATACATATTGCAAAGGTAATACTTAAATTTTGAAAGCATAAACAGAAAGCCTTTAGCATCATTTCAACAATTCCATAAGAACTATATAAAAATATCTTAAATGCAATGCCTAACAAAGACGCATGTTTAAGTATCATTCCACCATGTATCAAATTAAGACAACCCAAGCATTCACAGCAAACTTCTAAAATATACTTGACAAAGAATACAGTAACTCTGGTGGTCTGCACTTTAAATCAGTTTCTTTTTTTTTTGGTACCAGGAATCCAACTTACAACCTCATGTCTGCCAGGAAGCACTCTGCCACTGAGCTATATCCCCAGCCATTTTAAATCAATTTCTGCATCACAGAAAATAAACAAAATTTCCTACCCACAGCAATTATATTGTTCCTTTCAACTGCTATTAACAAAAGTTTTTGAAAATTGGCTCTTAATTAAAATAAAAATAAGTACAAAAATCCATTCCAAGATGACAATTTTATGTCCAACAGTTCTGGTTTGACTGCATTCAAATGACTAAGACACAAAGTCAGGATTCTAAGATGCACGTACTTTCAGTGTGTGCAGAGGTCCACGCTGCCACTCACGAAGGTCCTCGTGTGTGAATGACTTGCATCCTGCTGGCTCACCAAGTTCCAGCTCCACAGCACAGGCCAAGCCTTGATGTTATCTAGGAGGCGAAGAGCTCACAGGCCATTGTGCCTAGCCAAACCCTTCCTTGAATTACAATGACCCTGTGGTGGCTGTGTGCGGCTGTGCCAATGGAAACGCAGTGCAGGACAATGCGAAGCTACCAGGAACAGGTCCCACTGAACACAGGCAGTGCTTGATTTTGGAAGTTTATAGCTCCTTTCAAGTCACGTAGACTGAGAAAGATTTCAAATGCCGTCTCCAGCCCAGGCTAAGGAGCCCATCAGATCTGTTCCCTAAACGAGGGAGCTGCCACAGGCACCGCCAATCCTCAATGCACAGCCTCTGCCTCCCTTCTCGTGCTCTTAACAGTGCATAGTCCTGGTTTTTTTTTTTTTTTTTTTTTTTTTAATAAAACTCTATATACTGCCTAATTCCTAAGCAGGTAATTTCACAAGGCAATTTTAAAAAATGGTCGTAACTCACATAAAACTTCAAACAAAGCAGTACTGAGTAACACGGTTCTATTCAATGCTTTACCTCAGTCTATTTGCCATCTCTAGCCAGCCTGAAGTAAAGGAACAACTTAATTCACTAAAGAAATTAAAGCAATTGAGCTTTCCAACGGAGCTTTTATTCTTAAAACACTCACATTTTTGCAATTTTAAAGCTTAAAATTGCTGAGGCTTTTGGGACACCTTGTATTGTTCAATGATACAAGTAATCATTCCAGTTTTTTTTATAGTTCTAGATAGCATTTGCTGTGAATTAACCATACCTACTAATGTTAAGTAAAAATCTGATAAACAGGGGCTGGGGGTTTAGCTCAGCGGCATAAGCACCTGCCTTGCAAGCAGGCGGTCGTGAGTTCAATCCCCGGTACCGATAAAAATGAAAAAGACAAAAAAAAAAAAAAAAAAAAAAAAAAATCTGATAAACATTTTTGGAAGCCACACAAAGAAGCAGATTTGGATGGCACATACCCGTAATCCCAGTACTCTGGGAGGCTGAGGGAAGAGGATCACAAATTCAAGTATAGTTTGGGCAGTTAAGAGAGAGGAGACCCTAGCCTCAAAATTAAAAACTTTAAAATAAAGGGGGAAAAAAGGCTAGGGCTACTGCTCAGTGCAAAAGCCCTAGGCTGAATTACCAGTACAAAAAAAGGGACCACCAAAGGTTATTCAAAGATTCTGAATCATCAACAGCAATCTCAACAATTTACTATTTTCAAACTTGTAGCATACAAAATAACTAAGATGACGACTTTGTGTAATGCACATATTCCCTACATATACAATCCTACTCACTTAACAATCTCAACTTCTGTGTGTATTCAAATATTTATACCCAAAAAGTGGAAAGAAAACCTGCATCTTCGAGCTACCTAAACACTGACATGTGACAACTCTACAAAAGCAACTTAAAACTTCAAGTCAGCTCCTAACAATAAGAATGACATAATCTAATTTAATGAATACATGGAAATTTTACAAGGATACCAGTGAAATTTTAACAAAGCTCTACTCAATACTCATTTTATCACTTCCCATCTTGGGCTTTCTCTTATAATACATGCTTTTGTCTTTGTGTTTAGGCTTAAGGAGGACTATTGTATCCAATACACACCAAACCAAGACTATTTATATTGATGAAGTGAAGTCTTTGTATAATTATACTTTTATATGTTCCAAAACAATGTGATAGCTAAGATAATTACATATATTGAGATCTACATGAAGAGTTTGGCCTGCACTATCTTTCTTGCATACCTCTTTATCACTTTCATTTAAAAAAGAAAGTAACCTTTTAACATTCAGACACATTTTCCACCCCACACGGTAAAACTCATCTCCTAAGACAAAACAGTTTTTGATTTAATTATATCATACCATACTTGGCTAAAAGGGAAAAGTTAGCTGCACACTGACACATGATACCCTCATCGTTTCTCTTTTTTGAGGCAAGGTCTACGTAGCTCAGGTTGGCCTTGAACTCGAAGCCATCCTCCTGCCTGCCTGCCTCAGCCTCCGAAGTGCTGGGATTACAGGCTTATAGCACCACTCATTCTACTCTTTAAAAATCACCGACACAGATCCTAGTATCAGTGTAAACTTACACTTTAATGCAAAAGTTTCACTTTTTTTGAAACCATGTCTCACTATGTATTTGAGGCTGGCTTTGAATTCACTATGTAGCCTTAGTCCAGCCTCAAACTCACAGAAAGCCTGTGTTGGCCACCTGAGTGCTGGCTTTACAGGCACCCGCACCACCACACCCAGCATATACTTACATTTTAATTGTCTGAGCTACTTTGGTTCTAAAATGTTCACAGCACCCCTTAAACGTTTATGTATGGGACTTTTGGAAACTGCACCTCCCAGTTTGAATCTCGCCACATGCTGTGAAAAGTGTGGCAGCAGGCAACGAAACAGACTTGTCTGACAGAGGCAGCAGGTAAAACCACCAGAACCAAAGTGGCCCAGAAAGAAAACTGCTGCCTCCTGCTAAGGTCACAGCAAGCTAGATGGATCAGCAAGCTGCTGCCCATGGCCACCTCTGAGTTGGGGTAGGAGGTGGGGAGACTCTTACGTGCTTTGTGGCTGCACCTACTGGAAGGCAGCCTGGGCCCAGGCGACTGACTGCGTGTGTGCCCGAACTTCTATCCACAGTGCAGGGACAGTGCAGCTCCACCAGCCTGTTCTCTGCGCCCGAGGCTCTGCTCAATCAGTGTATGTCAGGGAGAAACTAGAGCTAGAGTCACCCCTTAGCTAGCACAATTCTAAGCTACTGTTGATCAGATTTGTTTAAGTTCTCTACACTTACCCCAGCTGAGGAAGTGTTAGCTCACAACAGAGTAAACAGCAGCAAATCTTTTTTATAGAACTAACTTATCTCTAAGGATTAGGTGAGCACATATACCAGGTACACTACCAGATTAGAAATAAAAGCATATACAATCTCCCCCTCACTCCAAAACAAAAATAGCTCATACATCAGTTTTAATTCGTTCAAAATTACAAGGAAGCCAGCATGAACTATTATGCAAGATCTTTCACTTTTTTTTTTTTTTTTTGGTCTTTTTGAGACAGGGTCTCACTGTGCAGTTCAGGCTGGCCTTGAGCTCACTGTGTAGCCCAGGCTCGTCTGGAACTCACAACGATCCTCCTGCCTCAGCCTCCCGAGTGGGATTACAGGCGTGATTTCAACTTCATACCATGAGGCAGGTGAACAATGCCCTCTGGAGATTTCAACCATGCAAGCTTGGCTCACACAGCCTTGTCTCGGGTCTGTGGTCGGCTGCCGCATTTCCATTCTTTCACAGCTAGGGGGCGAGCCAGCACTGGTAAGGAAAAGACTGACAGCTGTAACATCATCTACTGACCTGGTGCTATGTTCCAAAGTCTGATTCTCTTTCCCTCCCTACTCTCTCCCCCTTTCCCTACTCCAAAAACTCTTACTGTTATCTTCCTGTTTGGTTTACTTATAATTCGGTTTAATACAGCAACTGTGGTTAAAGTGATCAAGAGTGAATAAAGAGGGCTGGGGATTTAGCTCAGCGGCATAAGCACCTGCCTTGCAAGCAGGTGGTCCTGAGTTCGATCCCCGGTACCGATAAAAAGGAAAAAGACAAAAAAAAAAAGAAAGAAAGAAAGAAAACAGAAACGTGAGTCTGCTACCTTTTGAAAAAGCCAAGTATCAGCATATTTAAACTTAAAATCTGGCAAGCACAAGGTCCTGAGTTTGATTCCCAGTACAAAAAAAAAAAAAAAAAAACATACTTTATTTGTTGGTACCAGGAACTGAACTCAAGCCCTCGTGCTTGCCAGGCAGACCCTGTGCCTGAGATACATTCCCGCCCCAGTCATACACGCTTTAATCTAACAACTCTAATTTTAAAACAGGATAGGGGCTGGGGATTTAGCTCAGCTGCATAAACACCTGCCTTGCAAGCAGGCGGTCGTGAGTTTGGTCCCCGTGAATTTGGTCCCCAATAAAAAGTTTAAAAAAAAAACAGGATATTTTCTTCTCACATCATTCCAAATGCACGGAACACATATTTTGCCTTAAGTGTTCATAGCAGTGAGAAAAAAGGTAAAAACTATACCTGTTCTGAAGCAAAGGATTTTTGTTGAGTAACATGTAAACGTTTCTTCCATTTTAATGCAAATTGGTGACTATTTAAAATAGTAATGTTAATTAAAATCCCTAATAGCTTTATATTTCAATGGACATTTCAGTGTTTAGAAACTTAACACTCACAGTTAATTCTCAAACTCAGATTTTCTCAACCTTTGCCTATAAGCTAGAATTGGGGTACAGCTCTAAGACCCTTCCTGTTCCAATCAGATGAGGTGCTGGGATCACTGCACACACTTTGCACACACTTTGCTCTGAGCTGGTCTCACTGATCAGCCACAGAGGTAAGTCAGGACACACTGGAGGAATACAATGCTGAGTCTAAACTGTCAAATACAGGCTGGGGATATAGCTCAGTGGCACAAGCTCCTGACTAGCAAAGTGCGAGCTCATGAGTTTGATTCCCAGTACCAGAAAAACAAATAAACTGTCAAATACGCTGTGAAACATTAGATTCCATCTGTACTTTGGAACAGAAGGGACAGTGCACAGAAGAGTGCCACAGTGAGCAGAGCAAAGAGGACAGCTAGGATGGGACAGGACCTGAGCGCCAAGCACAGGGATGAGAAGGAAACACAGGAGCACTCCTGCCAGGGAGTTAGGATGCGCTCCCAAGTCTCCAGGGCTGAGGAGACACACAAACCTTAAGGTGCTCATTTCTCTTGCTCACAGAAAGTCTAAACTGTTTTCCTTAACTCAGCCAGCACGCCTCACTTCAGGATTATTACCCTGCTTGCAGGTAAGCAGATCTGGCTCTATGTACAATCTGTACTATCTCTGGCTGGCATTTCTTCCAGACTGAATTTGAAGGTGCAGCCACAAGGAAACACAAAACCACCAAAAAATGATTCCGTCAAAAGTACAACCCTCCAAACTGACAAGCGTAATTACAACCTGGGATTCCCTGCTCTGCTCCATTTCCTGCCCTGAAATCTGCTCATATGGGCTGGGTACAGAGGCAGAGCAAAGCTCTCAACGTCACACTCAACAGCACCTCCAAGGCATGGCAGCGTCAGCAGTCCAGAACAGGATCGGCCTGTTAGGCACAAGCAGCATAGAAACAGGAAGTTTCCAACTTCGCATGGTCATCCAGGATTTGAGGGCCAGAAGATGTATTTGGGTCCTACACCCCCACAATAACAGCAACTGTATAGGGATATTTACTTACCTTCACAGGCTCACTAGTTTTCAAACAATACTTTTTATAGAAACAAAAAAATAAATCACTCCATTGAACCAAGATCAGCATTTCTCATTTCTCTAGATCAATGACAGCAAACATTTCAGAGGTTGAGTGCCCAAACTGCAACCAAAACCCACTTATTTATTACAAAGGCCAACACTGCAATTAACCTGAATACCCAGCTCTAGGCTTAGGCCAGGTCGAGCCCATCGAACAGAGGGCTCCGCGTGCTTCCTGCAGCCCGCCCGCATGCCCGCACACCGGCACGCACACCCACCCGCCACAGGTCCCCACCACTGCTCTCCACAGCCAAGGAGGGGCAACTAAGCCAAAAAGTCTTAGCAACAGACTAAGGAACATGTAGGCTGCATCATCTTTCAAAGGGTTATTTTCCAAAAGTTTATTCAAAAGCCACTTGTACCAAATGCAGTGAACATACTTTTCATATGAAAAATAGTAACTAGGCCCCCAAGATGCACCACAAATCTTCGCTGGCAACACCTCCCACACTCTGCCGAACTGCAGGTCATACCAAGCTGCCCTGGACCATGGGACAAGCACTGAGGTTATCACCACTGGCTGCTCTGGTTCCTCTCTGCCACAATATGGTCCTGGGAAAAGGACAGCACTTGGGGCATCTTTGGTGGCTACCATCAACCAGTATCTTGAGCAATGACCTCTCACGAACTCCAGATCCAGATTCAACTAACAACTATCCATGTTTGCAAGAAGTTCAAAACATCCCCTACGTTCAACCAGACTGTGTCCCCTTCACTCTGGCATCTGAGGCAAGAGGACTGTGATTTCAAGTTCAGCCTGGGCATCTTAGTAGAACTTGGGGAGACTTTGTCTCCGTATTAAAAAAGAAACAAAGGGCTGGACTGCAGCTCTGCATGAAGGCCCTGGGTTCCATCCCCAATACAAGAAACTAAGTAAATAAATGAACTGTTTTCATTTAATAGCTTCCCACTGCTGGTAAGAATACCTCCAAAATAAATCTCCAAAGGCTATCCTGTTGTTGCATAAACAGAAAGCATGCGAAGATAACCAAGTTAGTAAGTCTTCCTCCGTCAATACTTTGAAGTCTTTGAAGGGAGGCCATGGCTTCCCTTTCCACCGTGGTGGCCTCCAAAGACAGTAATGGTGCACCATGAAACAACCCTCAGAAGCCGCCCCTGCAACAGGCACCTTCACCCCCCTACAACGCTGGTGTCCCATCCCAAAGGACACAGCTTGCAGGCCTTCAGAGGGCCCCACCACTCCAGTCCCCTCCCCTTCTGTAAGATCACCTCCCTCCTTCACCTCAGTCTGCTGACAAGCTCCAGCTCACCCTTTCAGACCAAGCCACTGAGATGGCTCTCACCGTCCCTTTCAGGTCTGCACATGGCACAGCCCTCATCCGTGACACTGAAAGCACAGACGGACAGCCTCAGGGCTGGAAACCGGCCTGCACCTTGAAGTACAGCTCACCAATGACACGGCATGAGACCAAGGAGGAGAGGAAGGAGATCCTGGCAGCAAGGTAGAGTCTGTCCTGGGCACCCTCCTCGGCTCATCCACCCGCACTCTCCACCCTCTGCTCAGACCCCTCCTGACCTCCTGGACATTTACACAGGTCCCACCTCAGCACTTCCTCCTCAGTGAGGGTCCATTTACTCAGAAGTTAACACACACATGAGGCACAGCTGCTCCAAGCCTTACTTGGTGGCCCTACGCTGAATCCCTACGGGCTCAGGCATGAGAATCACTGCTGAGTTCAAGGCCAGTTAAAGTACACACAGTTAGACTCTGTTTAAACACACAAACAAGCTGGTGGACCTGCGCTGACTCCCCACGACACACAAAGGACAAGGCAAGGGTGGCGAGTGGGCTCTGCAGCCAGCTGGGTCTCTCAGCCCTGCAACTTCTACCTCTGAGCAGCAGCTGGCTCAGTGGCTATGGCGACCCACAGAGCACCTGTTCCTGGGTCACACAGCAGTGTCTTACTTAGAAACCAGAGGGTTCACCTTTCACCTTTCCAGACAGGGGCTCACCAACATGTTCAGTAGCGAGCTTAAAACACTGCCTTTACTACAGCCAAGCAGCTCCTTACCATCTATCCTCAAAATGCTGCTTAGTTAGAAAAAGACACTCAGTGAAAACACAAAGATGCTGTTCAAATGTGCTAGTATTTCAAAATCAATCTACAAATAATGAATCAGCATCCAAGCAAAAGATGACTGATTTATTACTACTGATTTCACAATAATGTATTTGAAAGGATTTTATGGCTTAGCAAGCACCAATTACTAGACTAAAAGTTAGTGATTACAGTTTCTTTTCTTTCTTTTTTTTTGAGACAAGGTCTAGCTATGCAGTTCAGGCTAGACTCGGACTCACTATGTAGCTCAATTTGGCCTTCAACCCATGGTGATCCTCCCGCCTCAGGCTTCTCAGTGCCAGGATTACAGGTAAGTGTTACCACACCTGGCTCAAAAATTTAATTTCTAATCTCAAGGAGCTAAATCTAGTACTAGGGTAGACAAAGAAGTAAACAAACACACACCAAACAAATGGTACTGGGGCGAAAACATGGCCCAAAGAAAACTTACACCCAAGTGGCGGGAATGTAAATTAGTATACCATTACTAACAACCACACAGAGACTGCTTAAAAATAAATAAATAAAACTACCATAAAATCAGCAATGCCACCGCTGGCATGTACCCAGAGGAAACGAAATCAGTATGGCAGACATCTGCATGGTTTGTGGCAAAATTACTCACAATAGCCAAAAATGGAAACAACCTATGTGTCCACCAACTGACAGACAAAAACTGTAACTGAAACATGTAACAGAACACTATTCAGCCATAAAAGAAACCAATCATGTCACCTATGTCAACACAGATGGAACTGCAGGTCATTATGTTAATCAAATAAGCAAGGCACTGAAAGACAAATACCGTATGATCCCACTCACACATGGAATGAATATCAAGTCAATTGCAGCTGTCTATGGTAGTACACACTTGTAATCCCAGCACTCTGGGAGGCTGAGGCAGGAGGATCACAAGTCTGAGCCCAGCCTGAGCAACTTAGCAACTTAGTGAGACCTGATCAAAAAACTTTAAAAAGGGCTGGGAATGTAGCCCTAAGTCCAGTCTCTACTAGGACCAAAACAATAAGATCAGTCTCCAGAGATTGATAATACTGTTTTCCAAGGTCTGTGGGCAGCAGGGGCCAGGACAGCTCAAAGGACTGTTAGAGGAGACATGCGAGCTCTAATGTCCACTGCACAGTAGTCAAAGGCCATGGCAGTACACACCAAAAGAGCTATACAGGAGGACACTGAGATGTGCTCATATAGAAATAAACATGAGAAAATGTTCACTGAAGAAATATGTGCGCAAATATGTATACTATAAATTAATT